GTCAGCTCAAGAATACTTGTTTCTGATGGCATAGTTCAGAGGTCATGAGTGAAATTACATGTCAAAGAATAAAAACTGAAGTCATAACCTAAGATTAAACATCATTTTCACTTTTGTGAATGTTTTCAGATTTGAGAATTTTCTGTTTTATCATATTTATATATTTTTAAAAATTATATATTATTTTCATTTTGTGGCTGTCCCTTGCATTTGCTACCTAAATGCAATAACCTGCCCTATGACCTTAGGGTGAAGTGTGGGATATTATTTTTTTAAAAAAATATACAAAATAAATCATTGGCAGTGCCCGGAATTGAATCTGTGAGCTCATTTGGGCAAACTATGTTTTCTATCGCCTAAGTTACAGCAGCCCTAGAAGCAAACAAAACTGACTTTTTTTATTTCTACTGCTGGTCTGTAACTTTGGGACAGTTGGGTACTCTGGGACTAACTGGTTCTAGAAAACACATGTTTGAGAGAGCCTAAATCAATACTCAAGTTCCACCTAGTGGGCGAATGAAGAAGATCCATTTGCTCTACTATATTCCACAGCAAATTAACAGGGAATCTTGATTGCTCAAATTAATCAAGAAACAGGGACCAACATATACGTATGAGGACTGGTTATGATAATATACGGAACTGACCTTTGTAACGTCAGTTCCAAACTCTGCAGCCTTTTTGGGAAAGTGGTTATGAGTAATAACTGCTGGTACATTGAGGCCTTTTTAAGAATTGGCAGGAAACCTGGATTTGGCACCAACTGTATGATCAAGAAGAGGTAGCCAGTCCTGAAGATTGGACCTGTAGGAAGGGCCATGTATTAGTCAGTTTCCATGCAAAAGGACATGGGTTCAGTTCCCAAAATCTCAAGGAAATGTCCCCGTTTTGGAGCTGCTAGTTGATGTGGATAATACTAAGTGAGATGGACTTGTGGTCTGACTCAGTAAAAGGAAGATTTCCATGCATGAAGTAGACATTATGGTTTACTCCAATAAAGCAATCTGGCCATGAAACCAAACTACTGTGGTACCTCGGGTTGAGTACTTGATTCGTTCCGGAGGTCCGTTCTTAACCTGAAACTGTTCTTAACCTGAAGCACCACTTTAGCTAATGGGGCCTCCTGCTGCCGTTGCACCGCCAGAGTACGATTTCTGTTCTTATCCTGAAGCAAAGTTCTTAACCTGAAGCACTATTTCTGGGTTAGCGGAGTCTGTAACCTGAAGCGTATGTAACCTGAGGTACCACTGTACAAGGCTTTATTGCAAGTCACAATGTTAATTTTTAAAGGTGCTGGTTCATTCTATTTTTTTTCTCAATGTGAGTCACAATCATGGCTATGGCACATGCCGGCGAGGGACTATTTGCTGGTTTGTGAACCAAGCCTTACAACTGTCCCATCTACACTTGCTCCTCTTGGGAAAAATTATTCTCCTCTTGCCCCTATTCCAATTCTCCCATCCTTATTTGTCTTCTCCTTTGCCAGGAATAGACTTCCCCTGTGCGTGATTCTAAGCCATTTCCTGTTCCTCTTAAGAGCAATCTCACACTAGGTTTTTAAGGTGGAATTGGCATGTGGTATTCACTCACTCTTTCATGGGGCATCTAAATGCCCCATAAGAATCTAAATTCCATCTGTTATGGAACTGTTGTCTTCCTGTATTTTCTCTGCCCTTCAGTCTTCTTTCAGGCCACAGAAAATCGGCTTTAATGTTTTGGAAAGAACAGCAGCCAAAAAAATTGATCAATAAGACATCAACTCACAGGCCAGGAATTAGATATGAAGTTGCATAAAATTTTATTTCTTTTAAACTTGTTTTTATACCATTCCCTTTTTAAAAGTTCATACACATCTGCGACACAGAACTGCACACGACAATAATTTGCTTTTATATTTCTCTTGCATCAAGAATATGCACATCTTAATTAACAAGAGGACAGGTACAAAACATTAGCATCACAAATAGTTTGACAAGAGAATCCATATTCCCCAACGCAGGAAAACATGTTTTTTTTCCCCCTGCTTCACATCCAAAGGTATAGAAATACATACTTTATTAGGTGACAGTAACCAGCTTGATCACAGTTGACAAACACTTTGGAGTATCTGAGAGCCAGTTCAAATGTTGAGGGGAAATGTGGTATAGCCTTCCTAGCATTGTTCCATGGAGAATGCCCAGGAATGGGGGTTTACTCTCTGTAGCAAAAAGCTAGCAGGCAATACCCTGGCCCACATCCTGAAACAGTAATCTCAGAAAGCCTGCTTTTTAATTTACACTATGGTAATTGCAACTGCTGGACATGTTAACCCTACTCTCTGCTTTAGGTTAACACTCGTTCCAGGATACTTTTTGTTCCTGCTGGCTCCTGACACTGAAGACCAGACTATAAGATTTCATTATGGTATTGCTCATGCATTTATGTGCCATATCTTAAGGAAACATAGGGTATCTGAGATGTCATGAGCTGCCTTTTGCAGAAGGAGAAGCAATGGTGAGAACACCGAAAGACTGGCCCCATAAGCTATAGACAGAAAGTGAGGACATTAAGCCCAGAATTTAAACGGATTTTCTGTGCATGAAAAGCCGTCTAAATTTTCAGATAGAATGTTCCATATCCGATATTATATGTCAGAAGTTCTGTGTAGTATTCAACAGATGTTGGGCAGAAGATTTAGGTGAGCATTTCTGTCTTTTAATCCTATAACTATTTTCTGAGGAGGCCCAATGCAACAGCTCTGATGTATGAGAGCATTTCCCCCAACATGAACAGAAGAAGGGCAATTCTGGCGACTGATATAATCAGTCAGGGAGCTTCACATGTGATCGTTTCCCTTACGATCGTTTGTCGTGCGAAATCTCAACTTCCCAATGCCTGCAAATATCACAATTGCCCAGTGCCACAAGCCACAATACCTCATTGCTGAGAAAATGCAGTATCTTTGCGGCTGTCTCATCTAATACTGTGTGCAATATGGCTGCACATTTGCTATAGGTACCTCATGGATAAAGTCTGACATAATGGGTGATTAGTACAGCAATTCTTCTATGCAAAGCCTGTACCAATTCCTGAACTTCAAGTTTACTTATTTTTTAAAAAGAGTTTGGGCATTCAAGTATGGGTGTAGCCAAAGCAGTAACCACAAACCAACAACAGCCCTCACTTTGCAGGCCCTTATTCCAGTGTCTTCCATTATTTGGGGGTAGGCTATGATACTATTACCTTTGGGTGCTTCAAGGAGGAGTATAGTGCCAATATGAAAATGTAGCTAATAGCCCAAATCTTATCCACATTTATTCAGATAATGGTCCCGCTGAATGCAATGGGACTTACTCTCAGATATGTTTGCACAGCACTGCAACCTTGTATTCTTGTCTGAAAAAAGGCTGTAGGAATATGGGCAAACATATGATTCAGAAGTGGGAGAATAACCAACAAAGTATCAGAAACAAAACGGATGCTGTATCTCCATTTAATGAAACGGCAACATGAGGAAAGGATCATCATATCAGTGCAAAAATAAGTAAGTGTTTTTAGTAACCAGCTGCAAAGAGAAATAGTATTTATCAGCAATCTACATAATGCACCACTTTCTCCATTTTAAGGAAAACTGCCAAATTGACTTGTATCATACTACATAGAACACACAATCTATAGGGATGTTTGCCAGTGTAAACCCAATTGAAACAATTCATTCCAAGCTGTGCCTTTGTCCAATTTCCATGTCAGTACACTCAGATTGTGCCGGCATTCCCAGCAGATTGCATGCCACAAGGTATGATTGCCAGGCTTCACATATTTAAAGTAGCTTAGGAAAGGATAATTCCATTTCCCTTGTCATAATGACACATAATTTTTTTAGGGAGGAAGAAAGACAGAAGAGGGAAGAAAAGTTCTGATCTCAGCGAAATTATTAATTTGTGCAATTTGTGCTCCAATCCCCCCAAAAACCAAGGTAATTTTGTGGAGATCCTATCAAGCTATAATAATAATAAACAAATCAACTGGTGCTACTAGTTTCTTGTACAAGAGGCTGTTTTGAACAGTGATTTTTTTTTTAAGACACGCTCACAAAATTAAATCGCGCCCCCTCAGAAACACTTCACAGATTACAACCTTGTCTAAGATGTTATCTACAGAAGAACAACAGGTTAAAGAGATTCCATGTCTTACAAAAAGCATTAATAGTTACATTACTGCCACTAAATAAAATAGTTTCTTACGTCATTAGTCCAATCAATATTACTGAACTTAATTAGAATTCGTTCCCTTTTTTGCTGGCTTTGTTAACGTGGCCATTAATGGCTCAGTGATCATTATTTAGTGTAAACTTCACTGATTAAAAAACACACACACACAACCCCAAAAATCTATAAAGTCTACCAACATGGTCTTGCACAATAACAATTAAATCTAAATAGGGGCTGTGCAGGGGCTTTGACCACAGTTTTCTTGTAGGACACTCTTATACACTCAGGGAGGTGTTATTTTCTAGACAAAGACAACCCATAAAAGAAGTTGAAGGAGGATATAGTAACTGAATATAAAATTACGGGCCATGCTGTATTTATGGAATCATCCCCCAAAGAAAGAAATCTGTAAAACCCAGAGTTAGACATGCTCAAGTCCCACAGAAATGCATTTCAAATGGACTTATATGTGTTACTGTGGTGCTGAACACCCACTAATTTGATTGGACTTCTCTTAAATGGCCCAAGGATCTTGAAGCACAGTTGTACCTTGGTTCTTGAACGGAATCCATTCCGGAAGTCCGTTTGACTTCCAAAACAATTCGAAAACCAAGGCTCAGCTTCTGATTGGCTGCAGGAGCTTCCTGCACTCAACCGGAAGCCGCATCGGACGTTCAGCTCCCAAAAATAGTTCGTAAACCAGAACAGTCACTTCCGGGTTTGCAGCGTTCGGGAGCCAAAACGTTTGAAAACTAAGCTGTTTGAAAAACCAAGGTACACAACTCTGAACTGAATGTAGAAATGAATAACCTTCTCACCTGCAGATACACTTCCCTTTTACACGTCACATTTACTGCTGAATTGGAACAATCGGATTTTCTGCGGCATAACGTTTGTTCCGATTCAGCAGTAAACAAGGTTTTTTTTATGGGGAAAGTGGCAGGACAGAAGAAAAACTTCTTGGACCCATGCCTGGAAATCGCAGGAGAAAGAGAAGTCTGGATGAGCTTTGTCTGCATGCTGAAAGCCACTGATGTTTTTACATGGAAAAGAACATCTAAGCACAGGTCCACATCTGCAGTCCAAAGTGGTACAGTCCGGTGAAAAATATAAAACGTGCAGTTCAGTGTTAATAAGAAACTTTTTTAAAGCTTTACAGAAAATAACCAGTATCCCATGAACTTTCCCTCGTGATTCTGTTACATCTCTATTACAATCCGATACATCTGTTATGCTTCTGCAGAATAACATTTCAGATATTTTTCAAAAGGGGCAATTAGCAGCTGGTTTCCTTCCAAAAGGTTGATGAAGGTTAAGGTGTTTATTCTGATACAACAGTGATACTCATATTGCTAGCCCCATCTGGGGCAGTCACCTGCTGTGTACATTTGCACAGAGCAGGAAGAAACATTGGTTCGCTCCATTGGATGAGCCAAACAAAACCTGCATGTGAGAACGTAATCTGTATTATCTCAGCGAGCATATATTTGCTAGCTAGTGGTAACGTGGGAGCTCTGTGTTGAACATTTGCAGGCGAGAATCAGCAGGAGGAAGGAGAGAGTGCTTAACCCTTTCCCCCATGTGTCAATTCTCCTTTTCAGTCCCTTCTGCAAAGTCTTTATTTCTGCAGCTCTCGTTCTCTCCATCACCTGCTCCCCGCCAGGTGAAAACAGGACAGTGGCTGGAGGAATGTGTCTAACATGGTTAGGTATTGCATCCCCAATTCTCCGTGCAAAAGCCCTTCCACTCTCATGGCGACCCACAGCAGGCCACCCCCTTAAACACAGTGGGGGCATGCACACCTTGTCCCCCCATAGGACAGGATCCAGCCAGCATCCTGGCATGGTCAGGAAGGGAAGGTGCCAAACATCTCTTCCCCAACCCCATCGGCCATGCAGGAAGCACCTGCCCACTCCTTCCTCAAACTGTGTTGTGGCCGCAGTATACAGCAAAAGCTGCCCACCTGGAGCCCAAGGTTAGTGGTAGTCTCGCACATAGAAGCCAACTCCCAGGTGCCCTGGAGACTTCAGCCCCGGCAAGATAATATTTGAAGGGGCTGCGCCACCGCAAAGTTGATGGGCACTGCCATTCAAATGCTGTGCGTGCACCTTGTCGTGATTGATCATGCAGGGAGGGGCTTACCTGCCCCCTCCCCCCAATATTTTATTCAAATTGGCACCCTTGATCATAGGCATTAATTATGTGAATATGGGGTGGGAACCCCATGTTTGTCTTAGTTCTGGTTGTTATAACCTTAACGATGCGCCGGCAGTTTGGATGACACAAAAGTATTCTCCCAAGAAAATGGTACCATTTAATAAAACAGAACCTCTCTTTTACCAGCGTCAATCCCCGTTAAAAATAATTGGACAACTTCAGAGCAGGAAAGACGCACTGTGGCTTTTTTGTTTGTTTCCGTTTTGCAGATTAAAGAAAACTTAGCTGAAATTTGGAGCTCTGGTTTGCATTGGAACACATCAAAAGAGGTCAGCATGGCTAAAGTTGCCTGTGAGCATGTGGTTTCACCCATTCTAAAGTATTTCCCGAGACATACAAAATGCTTATAAACTAGGACCTGAACTAAAAAGATAAATAGTAATATAAAAATGACATGAGGAAATTAAAAACTTACTTCCCAAGTAAGCCCATTCCAGTAATTGCCCACTGGAAGCCAACGCTTCTTTCCAGTTACATGCATTTATTATCAGTTAAAATAAATATAAATTTGACCAAAAAAACCAACCCTGGATCACATATGTAAGTTCTCCGGTTTACTTGGCTGTTTCTGCTGCACTGCCAGTTATTTCAGTCTTTCGGAAACGTTCTCTAGCCAGTGCAGGATCCATTTGCAACCATCGGACATAACCGTTACTATGAGGAACACACATTTATTTTGTGCAAAAAGAAAAAGAGGGTATGGGGGCGGGGCGGGAAGAGAAGTAGTCTCTGCTCCACTGGTAGTACCACCTACGAAGTGAGTTTTGAATAGCTTGGGGGAGAAAATCTTCGCCTCAGATACTTTAGGAAGTAGAGGGGAAGACAGCTGACCAGAGTGATTACTGTCACCTTCCACAAGAACGATAAGGTTGCAATGAAGTAAACATCTGCAAGGGAAGAAAGAGAGAATGGTTCGTATAGGAGGCATGTTGAGGGGGAGGGAGGGAGAAGAAAAACACACATCAAAATATGTTCAACAGAACAGAGCCGTATGCGTGCACCCTAACTAAATAGCAAGCCATGCAACTTTATTTATTTATTTAATAATATGTAATAAAAAAAGGTAAAGGACCCCTGGACAGTTAAGTCCAGTCAAAAGCGACTATGGGGTGTGGCGCTCATCTCGTTTTTCAGGCCGAGGGGGCCGGTGTTTGCAGACAGCTTTCCGGGCAGTGCCAGATTTACCTATGAGCTAAACAAGCTATAGCTTAGGGCCCCACCCTGCCAAAAATATACTTCTTCTTCATTGTATCTCACTATTAATATACTTCTAAACTGAAATTGTATTTCAGTTCAACAATTACTTTGATAAAATACATATTTTGTTATGTGCAAATGGCTTTAGATACATATTAGGTCCATAAATTACCATATAGCATTTATTCAACACCAAAAACAGTGACAATTTGTTGTTGGCAAAGGACAGCTGGACATATAAAGGGCCCCATTACCGTCAGTAGCTTAGGGCCTCATCAAACCTAAATCTGGCCCTGTTTCCAGGTCATGCGGCCAGCATAACTAAAGCACTTCTGGCGCAACGAGACACCATGACAAGTGCCAGAGCACACAAAAACACCATTTACCTTCCCACTGCAGCAGTACCTGCAGTGCCGTTTTATCTACTTGCACTAGTGTGCTTTCAAACTGCTAGGTTGGCAGAAGCTTGGAGAGAGAAACGGGAGCGCATGGATTCAAACCGCCGACCTTCTGGTCGGCAAACCCCAGAGGCTCAATGGTTTAGACCACAGCGCCCCCTGTGTCCGTATTTAATAAACATGCTTACTTCAAGGAGTCCAGCTGTACATTTAAAGCTAACTGAAATCATTTTACTACCCAAAAGTAAGATGGGCTTTTGCAGGTGGTTCCTCTACTTTGGCAGCTTAACTGGAGCACAACTGTGAGGTGCAACTTAGAAATGTTAATGAGAAGCCACCAAAATTTGCCCCCCTCCGCAAGCACAAGTTTTCAATGTGGGCCAGGAATGGTTTTTCAATACATGCAGATATAAAAAGGAGCACATTAAGGGCTCTAGCATATTTATTACAGTGTTGCTGCTGTTTTAATACAGCATTTCGTGTGTTTATTGTTGGGATGTTTAAAGGTTGGTATTTTTTGATCCTTAAATAATTACTTTTCAAAATTTCCATGTGTAGCATGGTTTGCTAAATGTATTGTTCTGCTAAATATATTATTTTTTTTAAAGCAAATACAAGTTCAAAGAAAGGAATAAAGTAATGGAATGCTCACACTCAGTTTTCCTCCAACTTTGAAGGGACATTTATGTATATTATGAACTGAACATTGGAAAATGCCACATTTTCCTGGAAGTCCCATTGATAGCAAGAGGGCTCACTTCTGAGTAGACATTTATCAGAAGTACTTTTCTTAGCTTTTTTTAAACACAAATTTGAGAAGAAAGCACAGCCCCTTTTCAAAGCATACTTAAATGCCCTTAAAAAATTAAAAAAACTGGGTGTAAACATTCCATGAACGAATTTCATCAGTTCCACTCTGATGAAGTAGCTAACTGCCTAAAGTGCTGTTTCAATAAAATAATTTCAGGTTAGCTGTAAAAGTGGAACTGGATCCTCTTAAAACAGCAATGGAATCATACTAAAATACAGTATACAATTTTAAAAAATACCAAGCTTCCATATTTAAAATTGCTAAAATACGACAACAATGTTACTTATGCTTTGAATTTCTAAATGAAAGTTGGTAACTAGTAGCAAGTTTTCAATCTCTGCAGCAGAAAGCAAACACTTAAATTTGAAAGAAACTGTCACAGTAAGGTATTCAAAGGGGGGGAAATGAATCTTCAAAGTTGAAGTTCTGGAAACACAACTTTTAATTCAGCATTGACAGCTGCATATTTTGGAATGGAGGTAGATATATTATTTCATTGCAATTTTAGACCGCTCTGCAAATTAGCAGTTATTTTCCTTACGTTTCCCCCTTTTCTGTCAGCCCTTCCATGACTTCCTTTTTTCCATTTCCACTGAAAGATTAGACTAATAATGGATGTAAAAAAGAGACCTTAGTAGACTTTTCTATATTACTACAAGGAGAGGGCTATTGTTAGCCATCTCTGAGATCTGTGGTGAATTCTCATGGTGATGGCCCCATGCCTCAGGAACAGCCTTCCCTCTGAAGTGTGTCTCACCATGTCCCAGTTGTCATTGCATCATCAGCCAAAGACTTGCCTCTTTGCTCAGGCTCTTGGGGAAGGGAGAGGTACATCAGATTGGATTTCTATTGTGGCTGCCGTTTTACTTGTATGGAAATTGTGCTTGCTGCTTTTAAATATTATTGTTTAATTTTAACTGCCTGTATTTTGGCACCTTGGAATGAAGGGTGGCCTTTAAACATAGTAAGCAAATGAATAAAATATGTTGGCTACTGTGGGGAACAGGCCTCTTGGTCTGATACAAGAATGCTTTACTTATGCTAATGTTTTTTATAGGATAGGGGTGACTCCTCTGCAAAAACTTACAACAGTAGCTCATAACTTAGGGTAGCCAGACGTCCCTGGTTCCCGGGGACAGTCCCCAGATTTGCAAATCTGTCCCTGGGAAACGTGGCAGTGGCAGTCTCAGCAGCCTGGAGCCAGCCTGGTAGCGCAGTTGGCTCTGGCTGGCTTCAGGAGCTGCTCGCTGCTGCTGCCACTGCCGTAGGGTAACCGGGGACGTCCGGTGCTACAGATCTCTTTCCCCCTTCCCCCTTTGTTCTGACAGATTGGAGGAGGCTCGGGAGTTGTGGGCGGGTGGCCGTTGCCCAGGAGGGGTGCAGGGCATGCGGTTTCTCTGCCAGGCAAGGTGCAAAGCCCTTCTTTTGCACCCTGTGAAACATAAATGCACAGAGTTTTTAAAAAACTGGGCAACGGCCACCCGCCCATGACTCCTGAGCCTCTCCCGATCAGTCAAAACAAAGGGGGAAGGGGGAAGGACATCGGGGGAGGCTCAGGAGTCATGGGTGGGTGGCCATTGCCCAGTTTTTTTAAAAACTCTGCACATTTATGTTTCACAGGGTGCAAAAGAAGGGCTTTGCACCTTTATACAATATGCATATGTGCTTGGGCCCAGGGTCTTTTACCTCACCATCCCCACTACTGACTCCCTGTTGCTACTCAGCTTCAAAAAAAGTGTCCCCAGATTCATTGAAAAAAATCTGGTAACCATATTATAACTGCCCATCACCATCTTGACCTACCAATGGGCTAATGAATGAAATTGACTGTCTTAGCAGTCTTGTAGATCACAGGTTTTCTACATCTGCTCTAACACCAAGTCATCTCACCCATTACAATTCATGGGTTTGCAGCTGAACATTTGGAGTATGGGATGGAAAATCCACATGGCACCCCACTTGCTTTCAATATTGAAGAAGGTCAGTTCTTTAATTCTAGCTCCCCTAGAGCCCGTGCCCTAAAGCCATTTCCAGAAGTACCTTGGCTTCCAGAACTAGCCCTGGCTTTACATTTGACCAAAGAAGTTCTGAGAAATTCAGAGCAACGGCTATTACCAATAAACTCGTGCAAGAAGACCAGCGAGGCAATGTAGCAGGAGAGGCTGAGTAGTTCTGCCACTATCATGAGCCAATGCCATGTCTGGATTGTCAGCGCCACCATCAACAGCTCAGTGAGGATCAAGGATGTGAAGGAAATAGCCACAATGTGGACAAACTCAGATTCAAAGAGCAGCAATGCGCCATACATAATGATGCTGCCTGCAAGTGGACAGAAGAGAAAGGAGGGGTTAAATAAAATACAAAAATGTAAAAAATACAGTGGGCTGGATCCAGAATTTGAGCAGTCTCCCTGAAATCAGTGGGACTTGCTAGTCAGAGCTATGACCCTTCCATGAACAAGAAAATACAGAAGACTTCCTTCCTTCCTCTAGCTGCTAGACCAGGCATAGGCAAACTCTGGCCCTCCAGATGTTTGGGATTACAATTCCCATCATCCCTGACGACTGGTCCTGTTAGCTAGGGATGATGGGAATTGTAGTCCCAAACATCTGGAGGGCCAGAGTTTGCCTATGCCTGTGCTAGACAGTAGCTGTAGAGTTTTCAAAACACTTATTATTATTATGACCAATTATATTATTAAGCAGCAAAATACATCAGAGGCGAGGAACCTTTGGCCCTCCACAGGTTGTTGACTACGATTCCCATCATCCCTGACCACTGGGCCCTGATGCTAGGGTCAATGGTCCAGCAACAGGTTGGATGGCCACAGGTTCTCCCCTTCTGACATATTATCCTGGCTAACCTTACAAAAGCCCTGCAACTAGGTAGACCTGTAATAATATTTACACACTGAAGGTGGGGGCAGGTTAGGCTGAGAGAGAGGAGCCTGACCAAGATTTCTCAGTGTGTTCATGGCTGCGGTGAGATTCTGAAGCTAATTTTGACACCAGTCTTAAGCATGCTAAGAAGTCTCAATGAACTCAGTAGGACTTATGTTCAAGGAAACATATTTTTTGAGAATGGTTAGGGAGAGAAAGACTGAGAATCACTTTGCATCCTACTTCTGGCTGATCTGAGAATAGCTACACAACGTCCCAGATCCTCAGCTGCAGACATAACTCATGTCATCAGCATGAGTAATCTGCACTGATGACTAATCCACAGACATCACATTATGCTTGTTTGAAGAACAATTCTACCAGTGACTCAAGATCAAGCCATAAAACACAGACCCGGGGAGTAAATTTTCCACCATCTGGGTACTGCTCAGTTTTGGGCCATCCCTGATCTTGAGCGATAACTACTAGCCAAAATTGCATGGTGTGATCCATCAAGGGGTGAGGTCATCTGACCAACAGAATGTAACAGGAGAAGGCTCTTGGCTTGGAAAGCTTTCCCACGATGTCTCACTCTTTCTGACTGTCCGGGAGCTGTGTGATTTCTGCGAAGGCCAAGACACTGCTCTATAGTATTGATTTAGCCCTTGAAAAGTAATTGCTGTTGCAGCCAACTCTCCAATTCTTCTCTGACCCTCTTAAAATGTAATATATTCCTGGTCCTCCTTTTCCAATTAAAAAGGCAATCAATGAACTGGGTATAACTTAGCCCCTCTGAATGTGAAGTTAACTGATGGATAATGGCTGCTATGCAGAGTGAAGGGTGCAGAACAGCTTCCTGGGAAGTCGTTATGGTCCCCCCTTGAACACTCACTGATGTTTTTTGTGACATTACATCTAAAGCATTAACCACACAGCAAATCCATCCTGAGCCTCACATTGAAGCATCCAGCCATCGGTTATGTACTTTCTCAAACTTACATTTATATGAATTGCAGCTAAAATATTATGTTCATTTTTCACATGGTCTAGTCCTTTCCCTGCCCGCCCCCTAATATTCTTAAGAGGGTTCTTCTCCAGTCTTCAGAGAGTAGGAGGCAGAAACAGGTCCTCCTTTCCTTCACTCTGCAGTTTTAATCTGAAATCTTAGATGCAGTACTGCGCCCAGAGCTCAGAAACTGCTTGCGCTAATGAAATTCCCTGTCGCAAAATGCGCCTTAAACAATGGGAGTTTTGAACACTGGCACCAACACTTTGAATTGTGCTCAGAAACGTACTGGGAGCCAATCTAGGTCTTTCAGTGTAGGCCTTTCAATGTAGCCCAAGAATGAGTGACTGATCCAAGGTCACCCAGTGAGTTTCATGGCTGAGTGGAGATTTGAACCCTGGTCTCCCAGGTCCATGTCTGACACTCTAACATCTATACCACGCAGAGAAGGGATGCATGGAGAGTGCTAATGATGACCTGGACATGGCACAGTAGGGTTCAATGGGAGCCTCTATAGAAAGGCATCACGATCAATTCACTTAGGCTGTAGCAGAAGCAGTAAGCTACTTGTGCTCTGTGCTACTGTGACTGGTTTGCTGGAGGAGGCTCCTGTTGGCTTAGTCTTTGCTGAGCTGCACTGTCATTACTGTCAATGGCCAGATGGTGGTATTAGAATGGACCACTCAACAGAGGTCAGGTGATGTAAGAGCCAGATAGGGTTCTACCCAGTCCTACAATGCTGCTGATCATGGCTTGGTTCCTTGGCCTCATTGCTCAGGTAGACACAGGAGACTGAGCTGCTCTTGTCTCCAGACCACCACCCTGACAGCCCCTCTACAGGCTGCTCTCTGCACATGGAGGAAGCAGGATTGCAGCCAATGTCTGGGGAAATCTGAGAAGCCAGAAGGAAACTGAGCAGGACTTCCAGTGGTCAGGGAATGAGCATGTGTTTGTGTAGATATAAATCTCTGCAGAGCTCATTGCCTCTCTTCCAAACCTCTAAAAACCAGAATTTATTATGCACAAATATTCAATTTAGTAGATTTGCTTATTCAAGTCAGTGTTTGTTGTTTCCACCAAATCTGGGAAAATATGAGATTTGAACAATTCATTTCAAACAATTCACCGAGAGGTACCTGGACAGACAGTCTCTTACCTTGGTAAATACTTATCAAAACCCATATCAAAAATGTCTTGTATGATAAAGGCCTTCCCTAAAGAAATGAAAGAGGACAGGAAAACAAAATGAACGTCAGTCTGATGCACATTTCTGTATGTGATCTTGAGCATAAACCTGAAGACAAAAGAGGAAAACACAACACAAGATGTATCAAACCTTCAGAAGATCTTTGTAGAGTTCTGGGTACAGCATGGCAACTTCTGATTTGACATCTTTGTCCAGCACTAAAGAGAATACTGGAAACATAGTATAGAGTGTAGAATACCTGAAAGCAACAACAGAAGAGATCCCCATTGATTTCCACATGGATTCAACACCTCCTCTCCCACCTCGACAAATCGGACTGAGGGGTGGCAAACATAAGCAGAATGGGGAGAGTTGTTTTTGTTGATTTCTACATTTCTCTATGCTGTCTCTCGTAACTGAATGTCACTGGCCACTCAAAGGGTTTGGGTTCGACCCAGGATGAGATCAGCAATGAAGTTTAAGCCTCTTCTCACCTCTCCCCCTCCACAGAGGGTTGTATCCAATGCAGCACCAAGTAACTTGTTAAGGCAGTACAAGGATTCTTGCTTGCACAGTAGAACTTCCCTTCCCTCGCCTTCTCCCCCACAAACCCCCTAAATTTGTTCTGGGGGTTCCCCCGCCCTCTGGAGCAGGGTGCACACACAGGGAGGAGATGGGAGGAAAAGCTCCATTGTACAAGCAATAACTCCTTTGCCAACAAAATGAGTGCATTGGATACCACTCAGAGCTTCTTTTTAAAATGTTTCTTGCTAATAGTCACCACTACATACATACATGAGTTCCATGCACAGACATGCATTTCTAATTTCATTTCTGCCAAGGCTAATAGCCCGGATCCCAAATTCTGGCTAATCCACAATCCCATGCATAGTCAGTTTCCCTGTCTCTATTATCAGTGTACTGCATAAAATAATTGGAAGGCACAACAAATGCATGGGTGTCGTTTCACAAATGCATAATTAAATCCCACACAACCCTCGTTTTTAAACAGCCTTGCACATTCATATTCCAGGAGATGGAAGTGCATGTTTCAGGAAAGGAAAAACAAAAGTGAAATGAAAGCTCCTGTTAGAAATAGGATATCATAGGAATTGGCCACATCATAATATTTAGCCACTCATACCAGTATTGTCTACTCTGACTGGCTTTCTACAGTCTTGGGCAGAAGTCTTTTCCATTGTCTTGTCACCTGACCCCTTTAAATGGAAATGCCATAGATTGAATCCTCCCCCCAACCTTCTCCATCCCAGGCATGTGTCCTACTGCTGAACTACAACCCCACCCTGAGGCTGGTGTCCAAGAGCTGCTTCACATCTGAAATGCATCTCTCTCGCTCTAAAAAAAGTGCAATGTGTTTTATGTGCGATCTAAAAGCATAAATGTGGCAAACACATTTGCAAAGCATAGATATCACACGGAGCCACTCATCAGGGGTTAGAACTAGCTGCACCTCCCTGGCAAAAACAGACTTTGAGGGAAATTTCATTGTGCTGCCGTGAAATGTGTGATGTTGTCTAAGACACAGGCCCTAACACTGAAAACCAATGTTTGCCAATGCTCAGCCTTAATTCTTCTGCTATAATGACAGACCTTAGGCCAGAAACATGTGAAGTGGGGCACATGTATCTGTTGTGCTTTCTTGAATAAAAAAAGGGCTCATGTTAGAAAAGCATTGGCTGCCCAGGTTAATTTACTAGTTTTAAAATTTACATCTTCCAAAAGAGGGACTTCTGAGCAAATTAAACCTTTTCTTCCTGGTCCTCAAATAAAAGTTGCCATAAGAGCTGAAATTGGTCCTAATAAGATCCACGTGCTTATCATGATTGCGGGATTAATCGCTGCTTTGAAAATGTGAGCCTTCGAAGTTTCATCTTAGATTCTGATAACAGCAGCTATAGCAGGAAGGAAGGCAGTCCGCATTGTAGACAGCGACACACGAGGATATGAACGCTTCCAGACATACGAGGATTTCAAAACTAGCCTCCTTGCATTTCAGACTTCGTAGTCACATATTTTTTTGGGGGGGAGTGTTTGGTTCTTACCCAATAATGAGGAAGCCCTGGTAGAGAGGGACGGATGCAAAGTAGAATACCGAAGAAAAAACAGCCTACAGAACAAAAAACAAAAAAGGGGGAAAGACTCTTTAGGCTTTAAAGCAAAGATGTGTTCAACAGCAATGATCCATCCAGACGGCTCACATGGCAATAGGAATTCTGTGGCAATTCACAGAAGCCGAGCAAGATTGGAACTCGCCACTTGGGGACTGAAGGCAGACATGTGGCTTCCTCCCCCATCACACCCAAAGAGCTAAAAGTGATTTGCAGAAGGGATTGCTGCTCATGGCATTCAAACACATCCCACTTCAGCCCCTAGCAAAACAGGCACTGCATATAGTTTCAAAAAGCTACAATGCTTACTTCACAAATGCATGATTTTCATTTGGTGCATTTTGTCAGACAGCCTGAATACCTGGTTTTCAGTGAACACTAATCTACATGTTTTCTTTACAGTCTGCCAGCTGCGGGCTTTAGATCAGGGATGGGGAATCACAGAATTGTAGAGTTGAAAGGGACCACAAGGATCATCTAGTTCAACCTCCTGTAGTGAGGGGAATCTTTCACCCAACATGGGGCTCGAACCCACAAACCCAAGATGAAGAGTCTCATGCTTTACCAACTGAGTGCTCTCTCATCTGTGGCCTTCCAGATGTTCTTGGACTCCAGCTCCCATCAGCTGGCCGGCCAGCATGGCCAACAGCCAGGAATGGTGGAAATTATAGTTCAACTACTGCAGGGTCCTATATTGGCTTTCCCAACGTACACACTCATTCCACGTTTTAAAAAATATAGTTTGAAAAACCTACAATGCCTGTTTGAAAAGACCACAGGTGACAAAGAAAAAGGTGCTCTCATGTGCAGGATTTAAAGCAGCACCTCTCAAACCATCTTAATTCTTTAAAAGCTATTGTTTCCACATGAGGAAGACTCAACGTGAGCTGAGCTAGAGAGGTAGCAAGCTGTGCTTTCATCACAGAACATGCAGACTTGTGTTCTGCGTTCCATCCTACCTATTCTCTCTCTCCTCAAAAGCAATTACTTCCATTGCCCATCAACTGACACATGCTTAAGTATCCTGACGAACAACAGGTCTGAAGTTTCTTTGGGACGCAAAAAAAAAAGGTCATGGAAGTTTTCACAGAACTATTTGGACACCAAATTCAAAGTCTGTCTCACTGTTGGCATACACACAATCGCTCAGGATACACAGAGTCTTCACAGCTGGCCTTCAGGTACTATGGGGGGAGGGGAATGTCTATTTTCAAGTTTGGGGTAAGTTAAAAAGCAGAATTCCACCAATGACTTCACTGGAGCTTGCTCCTAGGTAAGCAGGTATAGGAATGCAGTCTGCCTTTGTGCTATTGGTTCTTGGATTTTACTGTTGTAGAGTACAGGCTACCTTGTTGGACTTATTTTTAGGTGGGAAACAAAATTAAATATCCTTTTACAGTAGATAGTTGTCAGAGGATATGGCTATCAATGGGTATTAGCCATGATGGTTATGTTTTGTCTCTGCTCTTGCAGGCAGCATGCCTTTGCAAATACCACTTGCTGAGAAGAGTAAGTGGGAACAGTACTGTTGCACCCAGGTCCCACATGTGGGCTTGCCATGGACATCTGGATGGCCCTTGTGAGAAAAGGTTGTTGGACCAGGTAAGCCTTTGGTCTGGTCCAATCATCTTGACATTGGGTGAGTGGATCCATGACTCTGCTCCATCACTATAGGAACAGATAGGGCCAGCCCTGAGCCTTTGCCAACCGCAACCCCTTATTTATTAACTAATGGAGATTTTAATCATGTTACCAACTGGAAGCTTAAACCTTGCAGCTCCAATAAAAATAAGACACATGTTCAGTTTTAACAAAAGCAAGACGCTACACTGAATCGACTTCGTGACGTATTAGAGCAATGTAAAAATACAGTTTTTAACTTTTGGACATCAGTCGCCATCTCTTAAACAGGGAGAAGAAAAGTGAAGATGCTGTGGTGTTACTTGCCTGCATTGTACTGATACACAAGCTTCTGTGGATCACAAACTGGCTGAGGGCTGCAGATCTTTTGTAGCTGTTCCGTCCATGCACCATCAGTAGCCGGCCCAGATGCTTAAACTGAGTGATGGAGAAGTCTGCTGCAAGGGAAGCTTGCTTTCCTTCCTAGGTACACCAAGAAATAATTAAGAAAAGCAACAACCTATCAGACCACAAGATAGCAGGAAAACATATCCTGCCATAGGGAAACAGATACAATCCGAATTCTGTGGCACCTGCCTCTCCCTTACTCAGCTGGAGTACCAGCTGTGGTCAGGTGGTTAAGCCCTGCTTCATATGCCCTCATTAGAGAGGTTAGAGCTATAGAAGCAAGATTCAGAACCTTTATCACAATGGCCCCAAGACTCTGCTACAGCATCCTTTGAGAAACAAAGTGGTCATCTCTGGCACTTTTACAAAAGGGCAATAAAACTTTAAAAAACAGTAAATTGCAGATATATATCTAATGTGCTGTGCAAGCCTATGTCTGTTTACTCAGAAGTAAGTCAAACTGTGTTCAGAGGGGCTTACTCCCAGGTAAGCATGCACATAATTACAGCCTTATTAGTGTTTGGTCCATTTTTCACAGTTATTTACTGCTTTGTTTTATGGCTAGATTTTTTAGTCTACCCTGCTTCCAAAGAGATTAGGTCGGTACACATCATTTTACCCTCTCATCCTCACAACCACCCAGAAAAGTAGGTTAGGCCTGCACAACTTGTGATCTACCAAGCTGAACTCTACCAAAATTGCTACCAAGCCAGCAATCAAACACAGTAGCTCACCAGAGCAGAACAGACCTATTGCTTTCGCTCCTTGTTTGCATTCACAAACTCTTGGCAGGTCGTAAAATGTTCTAGGGTCGCACATTTACCAAGTGGTATCTTAATGTGGGAAAGATACATCACCATGGGCAGAATTGACTTTGTCAGGAGGATAATTTCACCGTTCCAAACCATGGCTTGGTTTGGAAGCCGTTAACCACAGTTTCCTGGTTTGCACATAACAAGAAACTATGGTTAACTGTGGCTTCCTGGCCTGTTTCTCCACAGGTACGCAAGCAGGGAGTGAAGGAGCTGTGCTGGGTGCATGGAGCTTGTGCATATACCAACTTATTCAGTAAGGATTTCATCACGTAAACTAGGTCAGACACTCATTTCATCCCTTTTAGCAAAACAGGTTCCCTGTGTGTGCATTAGCTATCAATATAATTGTTGGCTTACAACTAAAATGGTGCCAGAGAGAGAGAGAGAGAGAGAGAGAGAGAGAGAGAGAGAGAGAGACTCACCTTTCCTTCAACCCCAACACCACAATCTGCCTCTTGAATCATACTGACATCATTCCCACCATCACCTGCAAGAGGCAAAAGAGAAAAAGGCCATAGAGAATCTTGATGGAACACCAATCTTTACTTGGAGCTTATATTAGACTGCAGGGCTATTCAGCTTGATCACAAAAGAGCCTCCACTCCGGTATTAATGTGCTAAAGGTGCCTTGCAGCATTTTTGTGTAGCAGGAGAGTGCAAGCACTGGTGATAGAGAGGGATTCCGTGCTTTGGTGCATGATCAATGAGTTTATCTCATATTGTCTGGCTAATAAAGCAAAGGCAAGTGACCCAGGGTAATGATTTCTGTGCTTCCAGTTAGCAAGTGATAGAGAAACTTGCATATATCACTTTGCAGCAGGATATGCAAGTTTGAAATGCCCATGGCAGCAGGGGGCAGATGCACAAATTTGTATATTATCAGGGACCTAGGCATGATGTCTGTGGTAAACCTCCTTGCCCTTATAAACCCAGCCACTGAGAATCAAGCCTGTTCTTGCCAAACCTTCTTGATCATGCAAGAATATGGTGAAATATTGGGGGGGGGGGCACAGAACTGAAGCCTCAAAGGAAGGCAGAGACGACTTCCTTTGAAGTTACAGCATCTTCTGCTTTCAAGCGGTAGAGGGAGCCAAACCTCCTTGGAGACATTCAGCACCCAAGGGAGAATGGCTTTTATTTATGAAGTCTATGCTGGGAGGTGCCTGTTTGTGTGTGCAGAGAGCTAGGTAGGCCTGAGTGGATGTGTATGGTTGATGGGGACCTCTGGCAGTATCTCTCGCATCTCATGAGGCAGAAGGTATCTGACCATTGTAGGGGATTTCAAGGGGAGCCAGGTGGGTGCATCCAGAAGGTGTAAACTGAGAGCCCCCAGAAACATGGCATTTAGATCACAGCCACTCTGTCTCTCAATCTCTCTAATGAAGATAGGTAAAAATAAAACCACCCAAAGATGCCCAGCTGAAAAAGCTGGAAGTGACCTACCCACAGCACAGGTCAGCTTCCCAGTTCTCTCCTGGAGCAGGCGTACAATCTGAGCCTTCTGTGTTGGGGCGCATCTGCAGCAGACCACAGCTGGGCACTGGCAAGCCAGTTCCATAAACTCATACTCGTAGTATTTCAAGCACACCTGTTCCACAAAACAGATAAAATAGTTACATGGATATAAACATTTTCCATCACCACCACCAGCAGCTCACCTGCTGCAATGGCTACCACAACAACCACATTCTCACCTCCAAGGAATCGCCAGAAATCACTAGGGCACAGTCGTGCTTGCGGCGGAAGGCATTGAGTTCCAAGTGAGCTTCTCCACGGTTGGTGACCTAGGAAAGAGCAAACAGATAACCACAGCCACTCAAAATCATTCCAAGCAGACTTCTAAGATTAACTTGGAAATCATATATATATATATATATATATTTGCTTTCGTAGATTTTCACGGGTACAGGAATGCAGGTTTTGGTGTCCTCGGGTGTCTTCCCGTGTAAAAGTTGGGGTGTCTAGGCGACGTTTCGACGAGGTCTCACTCGTCATCTTCAGGCTGGTGTTTTCGGCTTCTTGTTACTGGAACAGAGCCTCAGGCAGACTCTGTTCCAGTAACAAGAAGCCGAAAACACCAGCCTGAAGATGACGAGTGAGACCTCGTCGAAACGTCGCCTAGACACCCCAACTTTTACACGGGAAGACACCCGAGGACACCAAAACCTGCATATATATATATATATATATATATATATATATATATAGATAGATAGATATAGATATAGATATATATGGTGCTATGCAAAATTGCATGGTCAGGAAGTCTATGTTGCACTGAAATTAGCAGGACTTTATTTGGAGCATGGATACTTTTAGTATTCTGTATGTTTTTCTTGGTTTGAGTTTTTTATTTTTGTATTCTAACTTTCTGTAAGTTGTTTCGGGACTCCCCTCCAAAAAAGAAAGAAATTCACATAAATCATCATCATCATCATCATGCACAGGAACAGGCCATTGAAATGGATTAGTCAGACTATTCCATATGTCAATATTGCGTTGACCAACTTGAGGACTCGAGCCACTGAGGATAAATTCTTCTAAGGTGATAGCCACACTACAAACCAATAATGGAAGTGTTGGCATTGATTTCCTCCAAAGAACCCTGAGAATTGCAGCATGCTGAGCTGAGAATTCTCTTGGGAGCTTCTCAACTTTCCCCTCACAGAATTACAATCCCCAACGCTCTGTGGAAAGCGAGAGTACGTATTAAACCAGTTAAAGATGGCAGTGTAGAAATGCCATGAGATGGCTTTCCATGCAGAAGGTCCCATTCTGCATCTCAAGTCTAAAAGAAAAAAGTAGCAAGTGATGTGAACAGCCTCTGCCTGAGGCAATATTGGGGAAAATAGGGTGGCTTGCTATGGTCCCTTATTTACTGCATAACTCTAGGAATTCACCGTAAAATGCTGATGAATTTTCCTGAGGAATAAAATCGCAAGCTGCTGGGGAAATGTTGAGAACTGAATTCAATGTGAGAGACTTAAGAGAGAGAGAGCTGAAACTGACAAATGCGTCTATCTCAGGCATGTCGAAAGTCCATTTCGGGGGCCTAATCTGGCCCACCGTTGGTTGTTGGTGGGCCAGATTAGGCCCCCATTTCCTCAAAGAGCTGGAGCTGAGTAAGATTAATGAAGACAGGAATTCTCAACCATATTTAAATTGGTCAATAGTTAGCAAACCTATTGCTCTATATTTTGCCTCTTAAATTGTTACAGAAGGGATCCAAATTCACTATGTCAACCGTGGCTGCAGGAAAGAAATCATTTTATCCCAAGAGGGATAAACAAAGGAGGAAACGAGGGAGACTTTTTCGGAGCTTTCTTTTTCCACTATTAATGTCCAACTTCGATGTATTCATCAGATGGGTCTAGGTGTTGTGTAAATGCAACGATGGTCAGAGGAAGATTAGGTCTGCATAATATACTCATATTTTATTCTAATTGCACATTGGGGCTGGTGTAAATTATTCCCCTTGATTCATAATGTAGCTCTGTGGACAAGTGCTAAGTAAGCTAGTTTTATTCATATTACTCACCAGTCTAAATATATGAATGTCCTGGGTCCTGGTTACCAGATGTGCATTCTTAGCTGTACACGTGGCTGTTTCTAGTTTGTCCCCTGTGAGCATCCATACCTACAATAAAAAAGCACCATTTAATATCCTGAAATCAACAATGATAAAAAAACGCATTCGACAAAATGCTTAGTTTGTAGGAGATTTATCAGATACCCTATTTTTATATTTGTACTGGAATCCAGGAAAATTGATGTGTGTGTATTTGTGTGTGTGCGTGTGTTTGAGCCACTTTGTTTTCACATTAAATGAATCAGTTTGAGCAACAGTCTCATTTAAAAATGGAATTTTATTTTAACTGGATCCAATAGCTGAGCTACACATTACACAGTGTGAGGCTGCAGAACTTGGGAGCTGTACCACTTCACAATGTGGAGCTGAGGGTGTGTGTACACATTTTTCAATGCATTTGCATGTGAAAAAGCTCCATCAATGTAGTTAGCAAGCTTCTTTAAGGGAGAGGGATTTCTATATCATACTGGGATCTGCGCAATTTTAGAAACAAATAAATCAGGAGTCAACCCAATGACTTTTTAGAAATGTAAAAGGTGTTGGCACCTGTGATCCAGGCATTCTACAAAGGCCATTTTAAATTGTTCCCTGTGGCTACTGACTTCATACAGCAGCCTCCTTGTGTATAGGAGACACAGCAAGGAAAGTTTGTGGTGGCAGGGTGAAATATGGCCCCCATCTGCGCAGTGAGTCGCTTCTAGTCCTTGAGGAGACAGCCATCATGCGGAGAAGTTTAAAGTAACTTAATGGAACTAGAATACACGCATAGGCCTTTAGTTAAAATACGTATAATTCCTACTAAAATGAAAGAGACTGTATTCATCACCCACACTGTACATTGAAAACACGTGGCTCCCCCTCGAAAGAATCCCAGGAACTATAGTTTGTTGAGGGTACTGAGAATTATAGCTCTGTGAGGGGTAAACAACAGATGGGGATTCAATTTGATAACAGATGTCTAGCCTACATTGGGCAGACAGAGATAGCAGTTTAGTCAGTGTTACAGGCTCTGTGTGGGCAGAACAACAGGCATTCCAGATACAGATATGGTAAGATGGCAGTCCTGGGCATAGCTCAGAACTGAGACTGAACATTTTTAGCCTATCCTTTTCTCCCCAAATCTCAAAGGTAACTATCAAAAAGTTAATTTAATGTATGTACACAAACCATCTCCAGTTAAAAACAAGCTAAAAACTATGGCAGATAATGCTTTCTTAACCCCTTCACTTCCCATCCAGTCATGCTCATCAAAACCTAGTGGTAAATGGTAAAGTAAGTACAGTATAACTTATCAGCTCATGATTTGTTTTGTTTTTTCAATTCTGCTCCCTCTGGTGGCCATTTCAATACAATTCACTGTTTCAGACTTTTTTTAAAAAAATATTTCATACACCACCGGGAGCCTCAAGAGAAGAATTGTGCTAGGTAAGGATTCAGTGTTGCCCAGATTTCATAAGTGCACTGAAGGCAGGGCAAAGTAGTCAAGTTTGCTTTGATCACTAAAGCAAACTTGATCACACAATCTTTGCCTTGCTTTCCTGTGTGCAACAAAACAGCCCCCAAACCACATGGGTCTCCAAGATCATAGGTTGTGGCCCTTCTCTGGGTTCTCCACCATTGACAGGTGGGTTCTATAAAAGGGCCTTTTCATTGGTGGCACCCTAGCTTTGGATAACTCTCTCTAGGGAGGTTTACCTATCAAATACTTTGAAGTCTTTCTGCTGCCAGACCTTTATCATTTCTTCTGTTTTATCCAACCTTGGAACTTTTAATTCTGCTTTTACAGATGTGCTGCTTCAGCTAATTTTTATGTACAGGCACCTCCCATTTTGTGTGAATTAAAAAAAAATGCTCTACCAGGCATGTGCCTGGTTTTTGGACCCAAAAGAGGGCATGACGGGGTCAGGACAAGGGCATAACAGGGTGTAACAGGCTTATGTGCATTCTGCCAACATGTACGGTGACCAGAATGCAATCCCTGCATAAATGGGGGGGGTTGCCTATACTTTAATTTTGTTGTAAGCCACTCAGATAATTTAACTGAACATGAGGCAATGCATCTTAAAACCAACCAAACAACCAAACAACCAATGAACACTCTTCCTACTTTTTTTTGCTTCTGAACTCACATACTTGGAAAATTTCCAAACCTAAGAACCAAACACTCTCCTGGATATCAAAGTGAGAGGCTAACAATGACAACTCTTCAAGCATTTACAGGAAGCTATTTTTGTATGTGTCTGATAAAAACAGTTGTTATTTGATCCAAACATTTGGTTGTCAGGATGCCTCATTTTTCACAGCTCCCAAAGTTGTGTGTGTGTGCGTGTGTGTGTAATTAAATTTTCTGTTTTACAATTTACAATACTCATTTTTTTACACCCTTAAGATATCAAGGACTTCCCGTGGTTCATTTTACATATCATAAATCCCTGGATATCATAAAATGCTGCCAGCGTTTTCAGCCACAAAGTTCAGTGTTCCGATTGCTGGGGTAAATGCCCCCTTTTTTCCACGAAATGATGCGACAGTATCTCTCACTTTCTCTTGCCACTACACTGTCAGATTGGGGACGGGGGGATGGGGACCAACGATGCTACGCTTTCCATTTGCGGTTTAGCCATACCTTCATGCCGGCATTTCTCAGAGTTTCCAGAGTAGGCCTGACATCTGCCTGCAGCTGATCCTCCACTCCAGTCAGACAGAGAAGCTCCATCTCCATCTCCAGGCTCTCGATCACGGTTGCTACCTTCAGGGAACGGTCATGGACGCTGAGCTTTGCTTGGACATAGCGTGCCTGGCAAGGACCCAAGAAAGACATAGCCAGTCAGTACGAGATCAATCACTTTGCACTTCCATTTATTATTTTTTAATGTATTTTGCCTTCTAGTGTCTAGGTCTGGGTGATAAACTGATCTACGTTTAGATGGAGATATATCACGAGGTTGAAAACCAGATACCACTCAGCCCTCGATGTAGCTCAAAACTTCCCAGAAGACCCGAGGCCATTCATTTGATTCAGGCAGTGACCTTTTTTCAGTCCAAGGCAGGGCTGGCCCACTCATGAGGCAAGTTGAGGCGACTGCCTCGGGCAGCAGGATCCGCAGGGGCGGCAGATCCCGATGTAGATCTTTATTGCCCCCTTGTTCCTGACATAGATCTTCACTCGCCCCTTATTTCCTGGTGGGGAGGGAGGGGTGCCATTTTGCAGTTTGCCTCAGGTGCCAAAATGTCTTAGGCTGGCCCTGGTCCAAGGGCCATATTCCATTATGGGGAACTTTTCAGGGGCCACATGGGAATGGGGGCTGAGGCAAAAGTGGGCAGAGCGACAAATGCAAATGATACTTTTGTACAGTAAGCTCGTTTCTAAATACAGTGGTACCTCATGTTACAAACACCTCGGGTTATAAACACTTCAGGTTACAGACTCCGCTAACCGGGAAGTAGTACCTCGGGTTAAGAACTTTACCTCTGGATGAGAACAGAAATTGTGCAGTGGCAGGCAGCAGCAGGAGACCCCATTAGCTAAAGTGGTACCTCAGATTAAGAACGGTTTCAGGTTAAGAATGGACCTCTGGAACGAATTAAGTTCGTAACCAGAGGTACCACTGTATACTCATATGCTCCTTAAAGGTAAAGGGACCCCTGACCATTAGGTCCAGTCATGGCCGACTCTGGGGTTGCGGCGCTCATCTCGCTTTATTGGCCAAGGGAGCTGGCGTACAGCTTCTGGGTCATGTGGCCAGCATGACTAAGCCGCTTCTGGCAAACCAGAGCAGCGCACGGAAATGCCGTTTACCTTCCTGCCGGAGCGGTACCTATTTATCTACTTGCACTTTGATGTGCTTTCGAACTGCTAGGTTGGCAGGAGCAGGGACTGAGCAACAGGAGCTCACCCCGTTGCGGGGATTCGAACCGCCAACCTTCTGATCTGCAAGTCCTAGGCTCTGTGGTTTAACCCACAGTGCCACCCATTAACACAAAGAAGGTGTATTATCAGAGCTCAAGGATACATTCCAGTCAAGCAAAAAGCACTCAAAGTGCAAGATAGGGCCACTGAGGGTGGTGGCCTGGGAAGAGTCTCAAGAGCCAAACAGAGAGGCCCTGAGGGCCACATTCAGCTCCCAGGCCTGAGGTTCCCGACCCCTGCATTGGACAGACTGGACAACCCCTGAAAGAACAGGGTGGGAAATTGTTTCCCTCCATCCCGTTACTCACTTGGCCTATGTCAACATGCAGGAGGAACACTGCAGGAAATACATTGGGTGGGGTAGCCGATGTGCTTTTAGCAATTTCCCCTCCCTCCCAAAGCCAGATGCGTAGAGACTGGCTAGGCCCGTGTCGTGAGATTCTTTATCTACTCAAAGAAGATAGGTGGGTGGTGAGCCAACTGGCTGCCATCCACGAGTTGATGTGGCCCCCAGGCTGCCAGATGGCTGCTTTTGCTACAGACTAAGAGCACTGCCAGACCAGCACCTCTTGGTCATATTTCATTTTTACTTCATCTTTGTCCTCCAGTGCCCTGGAATAAATTGTATAATACCATTAGCGATGGGAGCATGGAAAGCAATGCAGGAAGACAGAGACATCAAGGGGGTGGGGAAAAGGGAGAGCCAAGAGAAAGAAGAGAGGGCACCTTCTATGCCAACTTCTAAATGCCTGATGAAAACTTTTCTTTTCTGCCAGGCTGATGCAGGCAATTAAGGGCACATCCTTGCACAACAGTTAATTGATGTCTGCTTCTAACTCTTTTATGGCTTTTAATTGCATGGTTTTACGTTTTTATTGCTGTAAACTGTGTTGATGCATTTCCTATGACATAGCAGTATTCCAGTCCTCCCTCTCAGCCTCCCTGATGTGGTCCTAAGGAAAGCAGAGCAATATGTTTGGCATTGGTTTGGCTGCAGGAGTTGCTGGAAAGAGACGTACAAGATGCCATCCACCTGCCTTAGGGGCTCGACTCCAGATTTGTGTAAGACCTACTCCTTGACCTAGGGACGCAGGTGGCGCTGTGGTCTAAACCACAGAGCCTAGGACTTGCCGATCAGAAGGTCGGCGGTTCGAATCCCCGCGACAGGGTGAGCTCCCGTTGCTCAGTCCCTGCTCCTGCCAACCTAGCAGTTCGAAAACCACATCAAAGTGCAAGTAGATAAATAGGTACCGCTCCGGCAGGAAGGTAAACGGCATTTCCGTGTGCTGCTCTGGTTCGTCAGAAGCGGCTTAGTCATGCTGGCCACATGACCCAGAAGCTGTACGCCAGGCTCCCTTGGCCAATAAAGCGAGATGAGCACCGCAACCCCAGAGTCGGTCACGACTGGACCTAATGGTCAGGGGCCCTTTTACCTTTACTTTACTCCTTGACCATTTCTTCTCCCGAAGATATCCCGCAAGGCAGCGGAGGTTTAGGATCAGAGCTTTCCTCCTCTTAGATGGGCTACCTTCCCAGACTGATGAGTCTCATCTGCCTCTCACTTCCTGCCACAGCACGTGATGAAACTGCTTTCTTGACCATTGCACCCACTATTGGTCTTGTCCGCTCAATCCACCAGAGCCTGTCTTTGCATGCAGGGTAAGTCTCTAACTCACCAAGGGTTAAGACCCATCAGCTATCCTCAACTGGTTTAGCGGGCCAGTCAAAGATGTTTCCAGGGTGCTGCCACTACTATCGCATGCTGACAGGTTCCAGGAGCCACAGGTGAGAGTTAAGTGCAAGGCGGGGTCCAAGGAGGGGGAAACTATGCCAGAAGGAGCAAGACATGTCCCCCACCAGAGGGCCTACCCCTTCCCCAACACCCCATACACTCCTGGACTACCCTGGCAATAAAGGAACGGGGCAGCTAAAGACTTCTCTGCAAACAAAAACTTGCACCTCTTTCACCAAGTACTACTAAAATTGTACCGAGAAAAATAATAATAATAATGAGAAAGTGGGATGAAAAAAGTGAAAGATCACAGGATGTGGTGTGGGCTGCTGCATCCCTTTCTCATGTGAACGTTGGCAGCCGAATTTGCAAAACGCTGCTGGCCTTGTACACACCCTTGTTGTCGGAGGAGTGCCTTCAAGGATATTTATAGCTAAATAAGCCATTGTTTGGAGTGGCTAGAAATTTGCCTCTCCAAGTTAGGCTTGCTGCTTGCCTGAAACCCTGCATTCCCAACCACATAAAAGGTAAAGGTAAAGGGGCCCCTGACCATTAGGTCCAGTTGTGACCGACTCTGGGGTTGCGGCGCTCATCTCGCTTTATTGGCCGAGGGAGCCGGCGTACAGCTTCCGGCTCATGTGGCCAGCATGACTAAGCCGCTTCTGGCGAACCAGAGCAGCGCACGGAAATGCCGTTTACCTTTCCACCGGAAGCGGTACCTATTTATCTACTTGCACTTTGACCTGCTTTTGAACTGCTAGGTGGGCAGGAGCAGGGACCGAGCAACAGGAGCTCACCCCGTCGCGGGGATTCGAACCACCGACCTTCTGATTAGCAAGTCCTAGGCTCTGTGGTTTAACCCACAGCGCCACCCGCGTCCCTTCCCAACCGCATGCCTATTGTCAAAAGTAGAGCTCAATGCTGAGCTTGATGTATCAATAGTCTGACTCCGTATAAGGCAGCTTTGTATGTCTGTATGTTGAAGGTAGATCTCACTCTTTCTCTCTCTCGCCCCCTTTTCTCATCCTTCCTTCCAGCTTCTGCATCAGGGATGAGGAACCTGTGGCCCTCCAGTTGCTGTTGCAACTTCTTGTGTCTGAATCAAAGAACTCTGGCTTAAATGTCCATGAAGAAAACAAGCTAGTAAGTCAAGATAGTAAGGAGGAGAAGGAGAACAGCCAGCCGCATTCACAGCTTCACACATCATGCTTGACAAAGCTGCAGCTCAGTCATTCCCAAGGTGGATGGTACCATCCCCTGGAAGGTGGTGGGATTACCTGGGGGGGGGCAGCAGAAGGGGAGGTGTAAATGACTATCAGACATTAAAAAGCTGGTATGGCTGGGTAAATTTCATCAATTTGTTGCATTAAACTAGACTGTTTTCACTGGATTTTGAATGAATGTGCAATTGATCATTACTGTTTTGTACTGTTGTCCTGTATTATCTTCCATAGCGGGGAATGCAAATGGTTATTTTATAAGAACAATGCTTTTTGTAAGGTAGGAGGCTCTGGGGTTGAGTTTATGGTACCAAGGGGGAAGCAGCCCAAAACAGTTTGGGAACACCCACTGCTGTAGATGAACATCCAAACACTGCCACAGACTAGCTTCATTGAGATGCATCAAGCATGAAAAAACATTGGGGGGGGGGGGAGAGAAAGGCTTTTGAAAACTGCTGTGCAAGTGACAATGCTCCTCTCTTAAAAGGCCAATGATTATAGCTGACATAATGTAAAAACAGCTCACAGCAAATTATCAAGTTGCGGGTGTGAAACTAGCTTCCTTTTAGTTTCACAACTGATAAGAAAGGAAGGCACAGAAGCAGACAGAGCTTGAAGTAGGTAGCCTGCATATGATTTTTTTAAATGTGCCATGTGGATGAAATGTTCATGTGGTCACCAGCTCATTCACTGCGGAATTTTGCAGGAGTTTCTTTATTATATTGCAGTGGGTGGGTAGAGCTGCCTACTGCTGGCTCCTGGTTCAAACTAGCAGATCTGTTTGTCCCTTCGGAGCCTGACTCCTGCAGAGAAACAATTATGTTTGGGGAAAATAAAGCGAGTGAGGATACTTCTGGGGCAGTTCTTAAAACGTAGCATGTGTATTTGCCCCTATGCCTGGAATACCAAATAAAGGATTTAAAATACTATTAAATAGAAATGGCAAATAATCAAAATATAATCATCAGATACCCACAACCTAAAGCTTATAGGAACAGCTTCATTTCTGAACAGCAAAATCTTAACAGCGATGGTTTTGCCAGCAGGGCCTGCCTGAGCTTTTCCACAACAATGGTGCCACAACCAGGAAGGTCTTGTCTCTCATAGCCATCCAACAAGTTTGGGAGTAAACAGGGGGGAATATGAAGGATAAGATGGTCCGTAAGTCAACAGGATTCCAGAACATCCATAATTTTAAAAGTAAGAACCGGCACCTTGAATTGGGACCTAAAACCAATAGGCAAGCAAGATGACACGATACCAGAGGTAAACAAAACTGGCTTACCTCAAAGTCTTGATATTGTTCCTCAGTCAGGGATTTCTTTGCTACTACAAGGACCCTCAGCCCTTCCCTCGCCATATTGCCACACTGCGGAGGAGAAATTGCAAATTTGGTCAGATCACATCTGAAGCTAGGGATGGCAAATCAGAGATCCTTATTTAGTTAAAATGTTTCTGGGATAGATCCAGCCTCCGTGGGCCACTTCCACCTGTCCGTTACTTTGACACAAGGTCATTCATCTTCCAAGGAAGTATTGGAAATGCCCTCTAACTCTCTTGGCTGCTCCTTCGCAGCCACAGTTTTACCTATTCCCCTCTTGGCTTGAGATGTGGGCCAGGTGGGCATGGCTGGGGAAGGAGAGTAAAATTAGAGTCCTTAGTGAGGGTTCCCCATGCCCAAGATAGGAGGAGATGGCAGTTTAGATTTCATAATTCTGTTCTTTCACTGAACTGTATCATAATGTTTTGCAGCCTTCCCCATGGGTGGTGTGGTCCAAAATGTCTGGAGGGCATCAAGTTCCAGAAGGCTGCAATATTGCTACCATAGCTTCTCATTGTTGCTACTATCGCTTCTCAGCACAACTCATGGTTTTGAGAAGCAGCTATAATAGCTAAGTCACAGTCTCAGTTATTACCTCCCAAGGCAATGGTGTACCCTGTGATCCCTGTACCACTTGACAGTCATTGCACCAAGTGTGGCTTCCCACTGGTGCATTTCCATACCTCTTCCTCTAGCCAGTCATTGTATTGAACAATTCCTGCCATCACCACATCAGCCCCTTTCATGTAGAAGGTTATTTCGCCTGTAGATTCATCCTGGAAGAGAGAGAGAGAGAGAGAGAAATGGTTCATAGACAAGAGTATTAAAAGAACTGGCAGATGTGATCTCAGAACCACTGGCAGTCATCTTTGAGAATTCCTGGAGAACAGGCGAAGTCCCGGCAGATTGGAGGAGGGCAAATGTTGTCCCTATTTTCAAAAAGGGGAAAAGAGAGGACCCAAATAATTACCGCCCAGTCAGTCTGACATCAATACCAGGGAAGATTCTGGAGCAGATCATTAAGCAAACAGTCTGTGAGCACCTAGAAAGGAATGCTGTGATCACCAATAGTCAGCATGGATTTCTGAAAAATAAGTCATGTCAGACTAACCTGATCTCGTTTTTTGACAGAATTACAAGCCTGGTAGATGAAGGGAACGCAGTGGATGTAGTCTACCTTGATTTCAGCAAGGCATTTGACAAGGTGCCCCATGATATTCTTGTAAAGAAGCTGGTAAAATGCGGTCTTGACTATGCTACCACTCAGTGGATTTGTAACTGGCTGACTGACAGAACCCAAAGGGTGCTCATCAATGGTTCCTCTTCATCCTGGAGAAGAGTGACTAGTGGGGTGCCACAGGGTTCTGTCTTGGGCCCGGTCTTATTCAACATCTTTATCAACGACTTGGATGATGGACTCAAGGGCATCCTGATCAAATTTGCAGATGACACCAAACTGGGAGGGGTGGCAAACACCCCAGAGGACAGGATCACACTTCAAAACGACCTTGACAGTTTAGAGAACTGGGCAAAAACAAACAAGATGAATTTTAACAGGGAGAAATGTAAAGTATTGCACTTGGGCAAAAAAAATGAGAGGCACAAATACAAAATGGGGGACACCTGGCTTGAGAGCAGTACATGTGAAAAGGATCTAGGAGTCTTGGTTGACCACAAACTTGACATGAGCCAACAGTGTGACGCGGCAGCTAAAAAAGCCAATGCAATTCTAGGCTGCATCAATAGGAGTATAGCATCTAGATCAAGGGAAGTAATAGTGCCACTGTATTCTGCTCTGGTCAGACCTCACCTGGAGTACTGTGTCCAGTTCTGGGCACCACAATTCAAGAAGGACACTGACAAACTGGAACGTGTCCAGAGGAGGGCAACCAAAATGATCAAAGGCCTGGAAACGATGCCTTATGAGGAACGGCTAAGGGAGCTGGGCATGTTTAGCCTGGAGAAGAGGAGGTTAAGGGGTGATATGATAGCCATGTTCAAATATATAAAGGGATGTCACATAGAGGAGGGAGAAAGGTTGTTTTCTGCTGCTCCAGAGAAGCGGACACGGAGCAATGGATCCAAACTACAAGAAAGAAGATTCCACCTAAACATTAGGAAGAACTTCCTGACAGTAAGAGCTGTTCGACAGTGGAATTTGCTGCCAAGGAGTGTGGTGGAGTCTCCTTCTTTGGAGGTCTTTAAGCAGAGGCTTGACAACCATATGTCAGGAGTGCTCTGATGGTGTTTCCTGCTTGGCAGGGGGTTGGACTCGATGGCCCTTGTGGTCTCTTCCAACTCTATGATTCTATGATTCTATGATCTGTTCCAGCGCAACTGCTAATCCATGGTTGTCTGAACCTGGGATTGTGGTGGTTTAGCTCTCCACACCAACCACAAGCTATAACCCAGGTTTGTCCTATGATTTGCAGGTCATGGGGTTTTGGGGGGAGAGGTAAACCATGGACCTAAGTTCAGATGACATGCTAAGTCAAACCATGGCTTGCAACAGCGCAGCATCAGAACAACTGAAGAGGAGCAAAGCAAACACAATCTCTTCTCCCAGAGCCCATACATTTGCACTAAGGCATGGTTTGGCTTAGGATGGCATGCAGCCCAGTCCACCCACAGTTTCTAGGGGTTACTACTAACAAGCATCATTAAATGGAATAATTTTTTCTGCTGTTCCACTTGAGATTGCAGGAGGGTGCTCAGATGACTCAGTGCTCCTCCATGCAATTAATCCCTTACCTATGCAAAATTAGCACATCAAAGGGAAAACCTAGACTTCTCCCTGACATGCTATCTTTCTATGGATGAGGCATTTGTTTTGAATGACTTTGTTTTGATTGACGTGAGCCCACAACTCCCAAAAGCCCCAAGCAGTGCAATGAAGAAACAGGTTTAGCGACTCTCATCTTCTGTTTGTGGGAACCAGGCCTTTGTTAGCAACAGGTGATATTGGCTTAAGTCGCAGGTTCATGTCAGATTTCCACCATCCTTCATGGGAAAGGTCACTCCTTTTCCCTCATTCCAATCATTCTCATGCTGAGCAGAAAAAAACATTACAACCAACTCATTTTTGGCTTAATACAATTTAACTAAAAAATTAATTTCCTTTTTATATACAGATAGGTAGCCGTGTTGGTCTGCCATAGTCAAAACAAAAAAAATGCCTTCCAGTAGCACCTTAAAGACCAACTAAGTTAGTTCTTGGTATGAGCTTTCGTGTGCATGCACATGAAATGGTGTATCTGAAGAATACAGTAGCACCTTAAAGACCAACTAAGTTAGTTCTTGGTATGAGCTTTCGTGTGCATGCACACGAAATGGTGTATCTTCAGTGGTGTATCTGAAGAAGTGTGCATGCACACGAAAGCTCATACCAAGAACTAACTTAGTTGGTCTTTAAGGTGCTACTGGAAGGAATTTTTTTTCCTTTTTATATGTTCACATTCAAAACTGGCAAATGTTAAATGACCAAAATAAATGGGAAAGATGCACCTCTGTTCTGATTAAATCTGAATGGACCTGAATCTTGGGGTGAAATAGTGCAAACTGGTGGTACCTTGTCTCATTCCTTGAAAGAGAAACCCCTTCCTCCCCTCACAATTTTTTTTCCAGATGTGTGAAGAATCTTTCCCCATGCCCTTGTACTTTGGGGATGTGAAGAAAAAAGTCATAATAATTAATTTTGTTGGTTGATAGACTGTCTTATGGAATAATACCCCACTCTCCACTTCACGTAAGGTTCTGCTTAAAAACAAATTCTTAGGTAGTATATTCTTGCCAATCTGCTAGATGAGAACGTAGGTACGTATTGCAGTTTACAGCACAGCAGCAGCTAGTTCATATTGGTAGCATGCCTGCCTCTACCCCAATTCATTCAAAAAGTCTAAGAAAGAGGGCAGCCAAAAGAGTTCATGAGCACAAATAAAGCCGGTAGCTCAACATCACCATCAAGAGTAGAGGCTGAATTTGGAGCAAGGAACCAGATACCGTGAAAGACCCATCATGCAGTTAAGAATCATGGCCACTTTGGGAAGACTACAAAGTGGGTGAAATTTGTTAGGCTTTCCTTTTCAATAAACACTGATGGGTGGAACTCTCTATGCCCAATCCTTAACAGAGCCAAGGCAACTTCCTTTCTTGCGCTGTGTGGCAGAGATCAGTTTTGAACAACGATGTCTCTTTTAGCAGCTTGAAGTGTAGCTCTCTGGCCAAATCTTTTGTAATCTGAGCTCAGCCTGAAAGCTTCTGCTTTCCACGATGTCCCATGGTTGCAACCCAAAACCAACATAAGCATGCTTAAGTTGCCCACTGAAGCCAATGGCCTTGCAGCTGCTCAAAACTGTGTTGGGATCATGGCCAAAGCTTTTGAAGAACTGCTGGATGCCATATTGTTGTTCAGCTGTGGCTTTCAACCTATTTCTGCAAAAGGGTCAACTGTCAATGTAAACACAGGACGATGTAAACTTCCAACTCTGAGAGAGGCCAGGGGGGAAAAAACCCACTCTAAAATAAAAAGAAGATCCCTGGCATTAGTTAAGATAGATGTTTGCGTATAAAATGATTTAAACTGTTAAGAAGCGTTTTAACAACTTTTCGGTAGGAAACTGAGCAGAGACTCCACTTCCTGTGGTGTAGAACTAGCTTTAAGATAGTTTAGATCTTTTGTCCAATATAAATACTGTATCAACTATCTCCTTGCATTAGTCATTTCCTCTCACCAAGTTCAGGAGGAGGTGAGCACGTTCCCATGTTATGGCACGATTACAACTATAAATCTGCAGAAAGATTTGCCAGTTGTATTGTTTCTCTACCACATCTTTTTCCACCATGGTCTGATTTTGGCTAAGGTTCAAAGGCCTTCTCTCCCCGCACCACCTTCCCCCAAACTCCCATTTGACATATGACAATAGCGCTCTCTGAGCTGCTAAGAAAACATGCTCCATTCCAGTTGCTCAGAGAGAGAGAGAGAGAGAGAGAGGAAACTTTTGTGGTCGGATAAACAACTGCTTCTGTCACCAACGAGAGATGGCAGCCACGAGAGATGGCTGAGTGGTTTGCTTTAAGGGGGCCTTTTGGAAAAGACATCTATAGAGCAGTGAATGTTCTTGCCACCATATTTTAAGCAACAGACACTAAAAAACCAAAGAGAGTGAACAGGGTTTGATTCAGACTTGTTCCACAGTGAACGGAGAGGCTCCTTCCATTTATGCATGGAACCCAGACCTGACTGAAGCTTGTTGCTGAAGGAAAGGGCCGAGAAACTGATTTTGGGGCCAATTCCTCATTACTTCTACAGACCCCAACACCACTTTTCAGTCTGTCCTGGAGGCTCTTCTAACCCTGAGGGGGGTGGCTCAGGGGGAAATCGACAGAAGCAACTTCCTGTCCTCTTCCACCAACACGAGCAAAACTCCGCAGAGTGATAGGGCTCCTCCAAACGTTCTTTCCATTGCGCATTCACAATTATTTATGTTCATGGTGCTATTGGGGCAGTCACTGGCAATTCCAATACTGTTTGTGTCTGCAAAAGTTCTGGGGTGTTCACTCTGCTTCCTTTTCAATCAGAATGTATCCCATAACTTTCTGCTGCGGTCTCTCCACTTTTTGTAAACAAAAACATTATTTATTTGCTTCGTAAAATTTATACAGTAGTACCTCCGGTTATGTAACCCTCTGGTTTCGTAAACTTCGGGATGTGAAAGCAGCAAACCCGGAAGTATTTTACTGGGTTTTGCTGTGCACGCATATGCAGAAGGCTCCAGTTGCAGGTTGCAGAAACCTCAGGATTCGACCAGACCTCCGTAACGGATCCCGTCCACAACCGGAGGTACTACTGTACAGTGGTACCTCGGGTTAAGTACTTAATTTGTTCCGGAGGTCCGTTCTTAACCTGAAACTGTTCTTAACCTGAAGCACCACTTTAGCTAATGGGGCCTCCTGCTGGCACCGTGCCGCCAAAGCACGATTTCTGTTCTCATCCTGAAGCAAAGTTCTTAACCCGAGGTACTATTTCTGGGTTAGTGGAGTCTGTAACCTGAAGCGTATGTAACCTGAAGCATCTGTTACCCGAGGTGCCACTGTATACTGCTTGATTGTTAAAACTAAAATACAAAAACAGAAGCAAAACCCTCAGAGCAGTTCTGGTTTCATGTCTTCCAATTTCATAGAATCATAGAATTGTAGAGTCGAAAGGAACCCAATCTAGTCCAATCCCCCTGAAATGCAGGAATCTCAGCAAATGCATTCATGACAGATGGATAATAATAATAATAATAATAATAATAATAATAATAATAATAATGATTTATTATTTGTACCCCGACCATCTGGCTGGGTTTCCCCAGCCACTCTGGGCGGCTTCCAACAAAGATGAAAAATACACAAAAATGTCACATATTAAAAACTTCCCTGAACAGGGCTGCCTTAAGATGTCTTCTGAATGTCAGGTAGTTGTTTATCGCTTTGGCATCTGATGGGAGGGCGTTCCACAGGGAGGGCGCCACTACCGAAAAGGCCCTCTGCCTGGTTCCCTGTAACTTGGCCTCTTGCAGTGAGGGAACCGCCAGAAGGCCCTCGGAGCTGGACCTCAGTGTCCGGGCAGAGCGATGGGGGAGGAGACGCTCCTTCATATATACTGGACCGAGGCCGTTTAGGGCTTTAAAGGTCAGCACCAACACTTTGAATTGTGCTCGGAAACGTACTGGGAGCCAATGTAGGTCTTTCAAAACCGGTGTTATATGGTCTCGGCGGCTGCCCCCAGTCACCAGTCTAGCTGCCGCATTCTGGATTAGTTGTAGTTTCCGAGTCACCTTCAAAGGTAGCCCCACGTAGAGTGCATTGCAGTAGTCCAAGCGGGAGATAACCAGAGCATGCACCACTCTGGCGAGACAGTCTGCAGGCAGATAGGGTCTCAGCCTACGTACCAGGTGGAGCTGGTAAACAGCTGCCCTGGATACAGATATGACCTGTGCCTCCATGGACAGCTGTGAGTCCAAAATGACTCCCAGGCTGCACACCTGGGTCCTTCAGGGTCACAGTTACCCCATTCAGGACCAGGGAATCCTCCACACCTGCCCGCCTCCTGTCCCCCAAAAACAGTACTTCTGTCTTGTCAGGATTCAACCTCAATCTGTTAGCCGCCATCCATCCTCCAACCGCCTCCAGACACTCACACAGGACCTTCACCGCCTTCACTGGTTCTGACTTAAAAGAGAGGTAGAGATGGATGTGCAGACAGCAATAATGTGGTAACTTTGGGGAAGCATTGCAGAACAAACTAAAGCAGAATAAATCCACCGCTGACACACTATTATTGAGTCAAGAACTTGCTGCAAAATATGCCCACAATAAAACACCAGTCTGAAGGCATCTCATCCCACTCATAAATTGCTATTCCTTCCTCTGCCAATTATTAGCAAGCAAACCTTCAGAGGCAGCTTGAGAATTTGAAAAGGGTATTTGAATTTTTTCACTCCGCTCCAAAGGCTAGAAGTAAACAGCAAGCATCTTTGAACAGCCACTAAAGAATGATTGTGCATATGACTGGAGAAGCATTCCTCGATAAATCTCCATGTTGAAGAAAATAGAACTACTGTATCCTTTTCTTCACCCGCAACCACTAAACATGAAGTTTCACAAAAGCGTAAGTCTGCATATCTCCTGCCAAAGAGGTGTGTCAAAGTTCTACCACATGCATAGAAGTGGTAGAAGCAACTGAGAGTTTCATCTGAGGTAGCGCTACGTCAAAGTCACTGAGTGGTATGCTTGCTCCACTGACGTTTTGCGCAAGGGGAACATCGCTGCGCGCGAGAATGCATAAGCAGCCTGCTGGTAACACTGCTGCATGACAGATTATGCAATCTGTTGTGTAAAGGGTTTCTGCTGGCACACCTGTTGTGTTGGACTCCTCTGTTGCACAACATTGAAATCCACCTGTCTGCTAGTGCAAGAGCCCTTGTGTCAGCAGATGGAGAATGCTGGAAACAGCCCTTATAAGCTCAGGAAACAAGAAGCAAGATGAATCAGCGTCCCTTTGCAAGACAGCAGCACCTTGTGGACCTCTCAGTTCTTCTATGTATCCTGTGCCTTCATTAAGCAGGGAATGTTTCAGCAGGCAGATAACTCTCCCCCCGCCCCTGCTATGGAAGAAGCTGAGCTAGCTGAGATTCCGCTAAATGAAAGGCAGAGAATCGCAGTGGAGTCAGCAATCCTATCCACGCAGTCAATGGCCAACAGGTAATCAAGTCCACTGCTAATAGTACCACATCTTCTTTGTTGAACCTTCAGTGCACAAACTGATGCACATGCAGTCAAATACAGTGGTACCTCAGGTTACATATGCTTCAGGTTGCATACGCTTCAGGTTACAGACTCCGCTAACCCAGAAATAGTGCTTCAGGTTAAGAACTTTGCTTCAGGATGAGAACAGAAATCGTGTTCCGGCGGCGCGGCAGCAGCAGGAAGCCCCATTAGCTTAAGTGGTGCTTCAGGTTAAGAACAGTTTCAGGTTAAGAACAGACCTCCAGAACGAATTAAGTACTTAACCTGAGGTACCACTGTATTCCAGAACTGACTGTTTCACAAACCTGCTATGCATGGGCTTAGCCAGGATTTTTCTTCGGGGGGGGGGGCAGAACCGACGTGATTGGTCAGTTAGTTAAGTATTTCTATTGTTTTACTTGATGGGGGGAAGCGGCCCCTCCCAGCCCCGCCTTGACTATGCCCATGCTGCTATGATTTCAGCTATATAAAAGAGAATGGAGGAAGTCGAGGCCAACTGCTGACAACCCCGTCCTAGTGCCTGGCAGCTATTTCCTCCCCCATCAGATGGAAGCTTCCAGTTCCTGGACATCTATTCACACCTAGCAGCTGCCCGTGGGTTTTTCAGAACAGTGCAAAATGAAAGCAAGGCTGTAAAAGCTGATAGTTGGTTGAATTTAAAAGCACTGTGTGCCCAAGTGGCTTGCTGATATAGGTCCTGATATTCTAGCAAACTCCAACAAAAGGCTTCCAATGAAGATCAGCAACAGCAGCAACAAAATCTCATGGTGACTTAAAGAACAGCAGATTTATTTCGCATAAGCTTTGTGGACTTGCTGAAGTGGAATGTAATCCATGAATGGTCATGCCATAGTAAATGTGTTGGCCTTCCATAGCTACCCCTCTATGCAAACTGACAGGCACAAAGTTAAAGATACATATATTTATAATATATATTATTTTAAAACCACTCTTAAAGTGGCTCATGCTGGTCTCCCATCCAAACAGGTCCACACCTGCTTAGCTTTAACACTGATGCCCCACCATGTGATCTCTGTCCAATTCCAGGGCCCAGGAAATAGTTCTTTGCAGAGCTAATGCCATGGCCAATGGTGAATTCCTGGATTAAACCTTACCCCTGCCTTGACCTCACTAAGTTGCCTCAAGCAAATCATTATTTCTCAGTTGCATCCCCACCCGTTCAAATGCAATTACACACACCTTGCAGGGTTGTTGTCAGGCCTGGAAAAACTCACAACTCTCCCCGCCCATCATGTTATTCTCTCGATGGCCCTGTGAAGTTGGCTGGTCTAAGAAAGAGTGGCTGGCCCAGCATCACCCAGCGGATTTCATGGCTGGGAGAGGGGGAAAATCCGGTCCCAAACCAACATTTTTAACCACTACGCCACACAGTAACAGTAGTTACTACTTGGAGCAACTTATTCGGAATTTGTAAGATAAAAAAAAAAGTATCACATATACAGTGAAGAAGAAGAGGAGGAGTTTGGATTTGATATCCCGCCTTTCACTCCCTTTAAGAAGTCTCAAAGTCGCTAACATTCTCCTTTCCCTTCCTCCCCCACAACAAACACTCTGTGAGGTGAATGGGGCTGAGAGACTTCAGAGAAGTGTGACTGGCCCAAGGTCACCCAGCAGCTGCATGTGGAGGAGCGGAGACGCGAACCCGGTTCACCAGATTACGAGACTACCACTCTTAACCACTACACCACACTGGCTCTCAGTGATTGAACTATCTGAGAGTGTCATCCCTCAAGGTCAAAGTTACCTGCCTTTGCAAATGTATGTGCCCCTTTTCCCCAAATGCAACAGCAAATAGTCAACTTGATGTCTATAGGAAAAAGCATGCACCACAACTCATAGCATTTATTGTTATTTGTTGGTGACAAGCAAAGATCGGAATCCACAGAAACCACGGCATTTAACTCCATCCTCTTGGCTGACAAGCACTTGACCTTCTGCTGTGGTTGTAATGTAGAGCGCTTGACCTTATTTCAAAACCCAGTGCTTGAAAGCAAAACCCAGTACTAATGTGGTCTTGCGGATCTGTGGTTGTGAATCAAGCAGCTTTTTAAAAAATATCAAACCTCAGCCGAGGGAGAGCTGATAAAATCTTGAGTCTTCCGTGATAGCCTACAGCTTTTATTTTGCTTATGGAGGTTTTGCTACCGTTTTGTACAACTTACCCGAACAATGATCCCCATCCGTTTGCTTTCGTACGTGAACGGGAAAATCTGGAGGATGGTGTAGTTTAAGATGTGGCCGCCAGGAGTCCTCAGCTGCACAGAAGACTGATCTCTGCCCACCAGTGTTAAGCCTATGCTTTCTGTCCACTGCACCAGGGCCACCTAAACACAAGAAAGGTCAAAGGTCAGGTAGACGGCTAAGCTTAGAGGGTGATGCATATGGAACAGGAGAGCGATGGGACGAGGAAGTTACTCAATTGATAACCGTACATTACCCCCACTGGAGTCATCTGTTGATGTTGCTGCTGCTGCTAAACATTCAGGTAAAAATGCATGGACCACAGCAGTGCTTGCATTTCTTCACTGGCACAAATGAGGTTAAAAATCTCAATTTTGCTAGTGCTGGGATTTCTAAGCATAGCTGGGAAATCGAAACTACCAGCGCATGTAGTTCCGAGGTCAGAAATATTCCTTCATCCCTTAAATGGACGGGGTGGAATGTCATTTTTAAATTGAAACAAATAATGGATCCTACCTTTAAATTCATTCATATATTACAACAATCTGGATCCTACCTTTTTACGCTGAGGGCACTCAAGGAAGATCATAACTATTCAGCTGACATTAAGAAGCCACTGAAGAACTTTAGGAGCATATTAGCAATGAGCTGCTGTTAGGATCATATACAGTGGTACCTCGGGTTACAAACGTCTCAGGTCACAAACGCTTCAGGGTTACAAACTCCGCTAACCCGGAAGTAGTACCTCGGGTTGCGAACTTTGCCCCAGGATGAGAACAGAAATTGCGTGCCGGCGGTGCAGTAGCAGCAGGAGGCCCCATTAGCAAAAGCGCGCCTCAGGTTAAGAACGGTTTCGGGTTAAGAATGGACCTCCAGAATGAATTAACCCGAGGTACCACTGTACTGAGTTGGATCACTAGATCACCCAACCCAGTATTGCCTACATTGACCGGCAGAGGCTCTACAGGGTTTCAGGATTCTGAAAAACCGATACTTCACTGAACTTCAGCCCTTCCCAGCTTAAAAGTATTATTATTATAGAATTTATATAGCGCCCTATACCCAGGGGTTTCAGGGCAGTTCACAGAAAAGATAAACATAAAAACAACTCTCTCTATATATATATATACAGTGGTATCTCGGGTTACATACGCTTCAGGTTACATACGCTTCAGGTTACAGACTCTGCTAACCCAGAAATAGTGCTTCAGGTTAAGAACTTTGCTTCAGGATGAGAACAGAAACCGGGCTCTGGTGGCACAGCAGCAGCAGAAGGCCCCATTAGCTAAAGTGGTGCTTCAGGTTAAGAACAGTTTCAGGTTAAGTACGGACCTCCGGAATGAATTAAGTACTTAACCCGAGGTACCACTGTATATATATATACACGGGAAGACACCCGAGGACACCAAAACCTGCATTCCTGTACCCGTGAAAATCTACGAAAGCATATATATATATATATATATATATATATATATATATATAATCAAAATAAAAACAACAACCCAATAAGCTTGCCAAAAGGAAGACAGTGATCAGGCCAGGTGTACATCCCATGAGAGAAGATGTGCCACAATCTTGGAGACACAACTAAGAGACCTCTCCAGAGGGCACAAGCCTCTCTTCCCCTTATTCAACAGATGAAAGGCATTCTTGGACAGGATTGCATAAATGGAATATTGTTTCTGGGAACTGTAACTCTTTTGGGGAATAGGGGTCTGCTAACAAACTTCAGCACCATTAACAAACTACAGTTCCCAGGGGTCTTTGGGGTGAAGCCACGGCTGTTTGGAGTAGTATGATACTGCTTTAAATAGACAGTACAGTGGTACCTCTGGTTAAGAACTTAATTCGTTCTGGAGGTCCGTTCTTAATCTGAAACTGTTCTTAACCTGAAACACCACTTTAGCTAATGGGGCCTCCCACTGCAGTCGCTGCGCGATTTCTGTTCTCATCCTGAAGCAAAGTTCTTAACCTGAAGCACTATTTCTGGGTTAGCGGAGTCTGTAACCTGAAGCGTCTGTAACCTGAAGCGTATGTAACCTAAGGTACCACTGTAATTATTTGCCCAGAATAATAAAATCTCACCAGTTTTGATTACTGGGGTTTTCAGGAATAAATAGATTAATGATCCCAAACCCCAGTTTTAAAATACAGCATTATGCTATTTGGGATAGCTCAGTTGGTAGAGCATGAGACTTTTAATATCTGGGTCATTGGTTCTAGCCCCACATTGGATAAAAAAAGGAAGATTCCTGCATTGCAGGGGGTTGGACTAGATGACCCTCATGGTCCCTTCCAACTCTACAATTCCATGTTTCTAATATGGATAATTTATTGCGTGCCCTAACCAGCCCTAGAAATTGTTTGGCGATAACAAGTCCTTGTCTTTGTTCTGCCTATCTTTCCCCAAACCTTCTACAATGCAAGCATGTAGCATTAAAAAGCTTTGTTACATGTTGTTCTATTGCTCATTGTCTTCATAACCCCCCAGATAAGACAGTTATCCCAGACATCTGATCATTAAAGCTTAATAAGTAACACTAATCAGATGCTTTTCTCTGACCTCTGTTCCTCTTTCTTCAAATTTCACGTTCCAGTTTTAAACTCCAAGCGGGAACTGCAACCAAAATGTTGCAGCAGGAAGTGTTCCTGGTTCAGCCAGCCAGCCATGGAGTCTTCCTGGAAACTCCATTCCATCTGCCCTCCCACAATATGTTTCCTATTTTCCATTCCCACTGAGCATACTTGGTCCTCATAAGGTGGCACAATTGCAAAACAGCCTTATTTTATTTTATTATATTTTATGTGCACTTCTGCAAACCTTGGGGTTTTCCTAAGCCTGCTGATACTTCCTCCTTCTGCAGGTGTGGGAAACCTGTGGCCCTCCAATTGTTGCTGGACTACAACTCCCATCAGCCCCAGCCAGCATGGGCAATGATCAAGGATGATGTGATTTGTAGTCCATCAACAGCTGGAGAGGCCGGTTCCCACCCCCCTTTCTCCAGTGGGTGGCTGGTGCCATTTTTGCTACATAAGGACCCACAATCTAGGCGCTTCCATATTGTCGCTATTTTGGGTTGCGATTCAATCGCACAGCAGCAAATCCAGGTTGTGCAATTCATATCAACGCGCAACTTTGTGCAACAAACACACTCCACCATAAATTTGCTTTCACACCCAAGAGGAATATCTGCTGCAGACTTCACAAAAGCAAAGCAATTCAAATTCATTTCCTTTCACAAGAGGCAACTAGAAGACACATAGCGGTTATGAGAATGAGGTACGAGCAGCGCTTGAAAGACAACATCTGAGCCTTTGCCCTCAAACAGAAATATAGGAATAAAAACCTCACCAGGTTGCTTTACAAATACTAAATGCTCCAAACATTCTACCGTCTTATGCAATATTTACTACTCTTAGCTAGGAATGTTATACCCACCGGCCTACGTGGGAGCTAAAAGGAAGATTTTGGACTTTGAGCTGGGAAAAAGAGAGGGAAACATAGCCTAGAAAAGAGAAACTTCTGGGAATTTGGAGCTGAGGCAGTTTCAGAAGTGGTCCTGTTTCTGTAGAGCTAACTCTTCCAGTTTATAGGGACTTGCTGGCCTGCCCACTCAACCTGCATATTTGTAAACAATCTATGGAGGGATAAAGTGGGGGGGGGATGGACAAGGACAGCGACCATGATCCTATAAAACCATCCCAGAACTTCCACCCAGGGAAACAATGAGCACGAAACAATATTGGGTTTCATTCAATCCTAGTCCTACTCAGAGTAGACCCATTCAAATTAATGGGCCCTGCAAACTCCATAACATTGATTTCTTAGTACAGTGGTACCTCTGGTTACGTACTTAATTCGTTCCGGAGGTCCGTTCTTAACCTGAAGCACCACTTTAGCCAATGGGACCTCCCACTACCACCGCGCGATTTCTGTTCTCATCCTGAAGCAAAGTTCTTAACCCGACATACTATTTCTGGGTCAGCGGAGTCTGTAACCTGAAGCGTATGTAACCTGAGGTACCACTGTATGTTGGCTGCTTGGCCATTCATAATAAACATACATTAATTCATTGAGTTCAGTGGGTCAACTCTAAGTAGGACTTTGCTGGGCAAAAGTGGATCGTTACTACACTCTATGAATTACTGCTCTCTACGGATTTTCAGCCTTCCGCAACTCCCCAGCTCATCCGACTGAGCGTTAACTCTTTCCATTCACTGAATTGCGTCAAGCCGAAAAATAAAAGGCTATTAAAACCACTTCAGAATCAAAGAGAGAGAAATGGACCCCTGTTTGTCATTAGTCGCTGCCCCACGCTTCTGCTGGGCTGCCTGGTCCCAGGGACTGCCGCTGCTGGCAACACATCTGATCTGCACATTCTTTCACATCCTCGAGCGCAGCGAAGTGTCGTCAGGGTTAAAGGCCAGATTGCCAGGATTCCTCCTGGGCGAGTTATCTCTGATCTGATTCTACCTATTACATTTCCCCTCTCTGTTACTGTATGGCCTCAACCTGACAGGAGCACAGAGCCCCAGAGGCTGTAACTGATCTCTCAATAAAGATGCTTTCAGGAGTCTCTGCCCAGGAATGCATACAGGAAACAAATCTAGGAAATCCTGCTTTGTGTTTCAGGAAATGAATTCTGTGCCAACTGGTAGAAATTACCCTCGCTGTTCAAAAGTTTGGGGGGGGGGAGGAAAACACCTCCAAGGTTTTGTTCCGATTCGGAGGGTAAACTGACCTTCCTGCCTTAACAATCTTTTATTGCTATAGGATTTCAAAGGCGGAGTTTGGACGCCTATTAAAGAGGCTTTTCGTGGAGTCACCCTTAGGGAATTGCTGGTTCATAGCATCTTGTATTTGAAGGTTCCTGGAAGCATCTAGCTCTTACTCAGCAACCATCTGTTGCAGAGCTGATACAGTGTAAATGATATGTGTATTTCATATTGCTTAATGCTTGCTGTGCCAACTGCATCCCCCCTCAAAACTGAGCCAGATTCTTATCGTCCTTCCCTTTAGAGGTATCAGATTTGTCCCCCACACAATGCTCAATAATGTCTTATTTATTTGTCCTGACCTGCTTAAGATCTATTTATTGTGGCAGGGCTTTGGAGCAGGGCAGGAGTGACAACATTTGTATACCATAATTCGTTCCGGAGGTCCGTTCTTAACCTGAAACTGTTCTTAACCTGAAGCACCACTTTAGTTAATGGGGCCTCCTGCTGCCGCCGTGCCGCCGAAGCACAATTTCTGTTCTCATCCTGAAGCAAAGTTCTTAACCCGAGGTAATATTTCTGGGTTAGCGGAGTCTGTAACCTGAAGCATATGTAACCCAAGGTACCACTGTATTGTTTACTTCATTCCACAGTTCTACTTTTGCTTTTAATGTTCCATTTTAGGGTCCTTGAGCTCTCATGAGAGGAAGGGCAAAGTGTAAGAAATAAAAATCACCCATTAGGAATTTGCTTTTAAAAGGAAATGAGATTCTTGTACATTTTACTTATTTTGTAATTGTCATTTGTGCATTTTCTAAACAATGGCAAGGCAGTCTGGGCAGGACTGATGGTATAGACTAGAAGCTCCTCTCTTGATAGGGTTAGATAAATGGTATTCTTCTAAAGAAGACGCAGGTGGTGCTGTGGGTTAAACCACAGAGCCTAGGACTTGCCAATCAGAAGGTGGGCAGTTTGAATCTCCACGACGGGGTGAGCTCCCATTGCTGGGTCCCAGCTCCTGCCAACCTAGCAGTTTGAAAGCACGTCGAAGTGCAAGTAGATAAATAGGTACCGCTCCGGCGGGAAGGTAAACGGTGTTTCCGTGTGCAGCTCTGGTTCGCCAAAAACGGCTTAGTCATGCTGGCCACATGACCCGGAAGCTGTACGCTGGCTCCCTCAGCCAATAAAGCGAGATGAGTGCCACAACTCCAGAGTCGGCCACGACTGGACCTAACAGTCAGGGGTCCCTTTACCTTTACCTTATTATTCTTCTAAATACCATCAAATCTTCCAGCACTGATGCTGTCTGAAATTTAACAGCTGTGCACAGATCCTAACTAGCAATAATATCAATAGCTACATTTGAACAAACACAGTTTACAGGAAGTCAAACCATCGTTTCCAAGGCACAATTTACCTCATCAGGACTAGCGGCTTGGTACACCCTGCAAGAATCTTCATAGTGCCGCTCGGCTTCAGCCTGATCCGTCACACCATTCGATTCATAGACGGGAGTCACATTGTGGCAGAGGGCGATCGCTTTCACTGCCTCGTGGACTCTGCTGCTCAGGGTTTTCCGTACCTTGGTAGCCAGGGTGGGGCCTTTTAAAGCAGGTGGCTCCTGAGACTGCTAAGAAAAGAGGATAAAGCACAATTATATTAGCTAGGGGGGAAAAGACCTGGCTTTCATTAATACTCGTCATTTGCATAGGGGAAGGGTGGGAAGCCTAGGAATACAGGCTGAGATCCTTGATGAGCAAATACAAATTTGGTTGCAAAAAAATATGCTGAAGGATGCAAAAATAGGTCACCACGGCCACTGCAAGCCAGGACCTAGTGTCAGGGACTGGCAAGACGCTGACAACTGACATCAATGGCATGTGGTTAAGGCCATTGCTCCAGAATGATGGAAGCTGAAGTTCAACAACATGTGGCAGGCCACATATTCTCTGCAGTCTAGAAGCCCTCACAAGACCTTGTGTGCTTCACCTTGCCTCATCTATGGGTCAGGCCTGCTCATGAGTCACTGAAAGACAGGGAACTAAGGCTGAAAGTGACCAAGTTGAGCAAACCCTCTATAGCTCAGTGGGGATTCCAAACCAGGATTTGAATTCAGATCTATATCCAAAACCAATGCCCTCTCCTCCAAACCACAATGGACTCTCAAAATCAGTATCAAGTGACTATTTTTAAATGCTTCCATGCCAATGAAACCTACTGTAAAACTTTTACCTAAATCTGGAAAGGAAGCAGACTTTGCGGGATCTCTGTTTTCTTGCTACTGTTATGGATTATTATTGTTTATTTCTTGTATTAGCTGCTTGATAACACAAGAGTCCCCAAGTGACTTACTAGACTCCTGAAACCCACCTACTGGAGCCAACAAATAGTTGCTTGGAGGTACGTGGGGCAGGAGAGGCTAGAATTAGGGAAGAGGGTGCCTCTGAGCATGTGCTTAGCCCAGGAGCTTCTTCCCAGTATCAGAACTGAGCCCACAGTCCTCATTGCATAAAAATCCACTCCAGATCTTCTCATAAACTTTCCTTCAGCAGCCTAATTTAGGGCAAAACCAGGCATCACCTTTGCCATACAAAGAGGTAATTTTAATGTTTTAGTATTTTATCTTTTGTATGTTTTAAAAGTATGGCTGTGGATTTTTCATGATTTTCATGTTTTTCTTTTGTAAACTGCTTTGAGGGTTTTCTGTTGTTTTTTTAAATCAAGCAGTGTATAAAATTCTATGGAATAAATACAATTTGCCCTTGTGTCATTGAAAGGGGGTATTCAGTTACATTCTACTCAGAGAAGACCTATTGAAATTAATGACTCTTAGTCTCCAACTTGGAGAGAGAGGTAATAGAAAGGCAACAATTCAAAGGCAAACTACGTCACAAACTCTGAATCCAGTTTTTGCGGGGCAGAAGACCCTCTTTTTCTTATTGCTATTATTAAATAATTTAAAAAATGAGAGTCAGAAATTCCTATCAATCTGCAAATCACCTAAAGATCGACCATTGGATCCCAATTCTGCCCACTCCAGTTTGCAGCAAGAAAAGAGATTCCTGACCTGAGACAACTGTACCTAAGTTTTCCTAGTTGGTCAGGAAAAGTAGGTTTCTTACAGATCCCGCCACCAGTTTGGCCTCTAAAACTCAGCCCCATAAAGGTCTTTTCAGTGAAATCCCTTTACTCAGCGAGAGACGGATAATTTGAAATGAACAGGGTTTTATGTTCGTAAACACACAGCCAACCGAAAAAGAAAAAACAGATGGGTCAGCATAGAGGTAGGTCGAAAGCTGATCGTTTTGATTTTTAATACTATTTTTAGAGTCTGCATCGGACCTTCCAGGTAATTTTACAATTACTAAATTATGCTGGCCACAGGGGGAACATATAGCCATCCAGTTTCCTGCTCTGTTAACCTCTTGTGTCAAGAGGACAGAAGTTTCACTTCCAGGTCAAAGGGCATAGCATGGTAACAATAATTAGAGCAATGAATCAGAACTACAGTTTAAATGAATCATGGCCAGCAAATGCTTCCAATTACCAAAGAATCTAACCTTTTAATTATATTTAAACTTATACTTGCTTGGAAGCTCTCTTTAATGTGGTTAGGGGCTGCTTTCCTCGTTCTTAAATAAAGCTGTATTAGTTAAAGTTGGGGGTTGAATACAGTTTGATACATTGAGCTGCCTGAATTCTACCTTACTCAGTACCATGAAAGCATGAACAGAAGGTGAAAGGGACCTGCACATCTAATTTTCATGCTTTCAATTATTGTGCGAAGGCGAGTCCTGTACATACAATTGGGGACCACAACTATTCAACTATTCAAATATACATATTTGAATACTTTGTATATGCACAGGCTCTTTCAGAGGTCATGCTGAAGATACATAGAAGAAGGAAGTGGGGTGTGATCCTGAAAAGTGGTTGCTTAGCTACAGTGGTACCTCTGGTTACGTATTTAATTCGTTCCGGAGGTCCGTTCTTAACCTGAAACTGTTCTTAACCTGAAGCACCACTTTAGCAAATGGGGCCTCCCGCTGCCGCCGCACGATTTCTGTTCTCACCCTGAAGTAAAGTTTTTAAAGTGAGGTACTATTTCTGGGTTAGTGGAGTCTGTAACCTGAAGCGTATGTAACCCGAGGTACCACTGTATTGCAAAGTGGTTGTTAGCAACAGATTTTATAACAACAACTTACTGAATTCTCAATGAAAAGGGAAAATCTGGATTACCTACATGAATAATATGGGTTGCCATTTTTATTCTGACTTTGTGCGGAGCTCACCTGTGTATATATACTAAATATATGGCTCTGAACTTCATCCATGGAGTCTAGTCCGTAAGCAACTGTTCCGAGATGAAGGCGTTTGAAAACCATCTCATTCTGCGTCAGGGTCCCTGGAACAAGTGCAGAATTATAAAGTCAAGATCCAAGTAAGTGCAAAAAGGTGGCAATAGCTGTTTCTCTCACACATACATACCCATGCTATCGCATTTATGAAAAGGAGAAAGGCCACACTCCTTTCATTTTTATTTACTTATTTTACTAATTCGAGACATTTACAGACCACTTACAACCAGCAGATCTAACAACTACTACAACAATCCAGGTATGTAAATAGATCATAAACATATTCTAAACCATTTATGAATAAAAGAAAATCTAAACACAGATAATACAGCACAATAGCCATGTGCAGCGTTCGGGTTGCGAACGCTGCGGGTTGCGTGTTTTCGGGTTACGGACCGCGCCGAACCCGGAAGTACTGGAACGGGTTACTTCTGGGTTTCAGCGCTTGCGCATGCACAGAAGCACTAAATTGTGCTTTGCGCATAAGTGCCGGATTGCATCACGTGTGTGCGCAGATGCGGCGTAGTGGGTTGTGAACACTGTGGGTTGCGAACGTGCCTCCCGCGCAGATCACGTTTGCAACCCGAGGTATGACTGTATGTATCAATAATCTTCTATCAGTCTGGAATTCTAAAAATTAAAAGAAGTCTTTATTCACACACACACACACACACACACACACACACACTGAAACATTAACCAAGCTCCCAATAATATTCTCCCCACACAATTGCTCTCACAATCTTGCATTTTCATCAGCCACACATATACCCACACAACCACTTTGAGAGGCAGCATGGCGTAGTGCTTAGATTTCCAGGCTAGGATGAGAGTTCAAATCCCCTCTCGTTTACAAAGCTCACTGGGTGACCATGGGCCAGTCACTGCCTCTCAGCCTAGCTTACCTCACAGGGTTGGTGTGAGGATAATGTGGAGAGTAGGGAGGACTGTGTATACCACCTTGAGCCCTTTGGAGGAAGGGTGGGGTACAACTGTAATAATAAAATAAACCACCATACCATTACAAGCATCTCCTTTCCTATTGTTACTTATCATTTCAATCACCTCTAACAATAACCTTTAGCTATGCAAGATGCACATTATGACTTCTTTCCCTGCAAAGATTGTATTCATTTTTTAAGAAAGAAGATTTGTATCCTGCCCTTGGGGGGGGAGTTTTCCAGAGTAGTGAAAATAAAATAAGAATAATATTAATAAATAAAAAACAGGTCTCTCTCTAACATACCTGTTTTATCTGTAAGTAAATAGGATATTCTTCCAAGTTGCTCTGGGATTGTGCTAGATCGGACTACAGTGCCAGGAATTTTAGAATCCTTCCGGATCATCCAACTGTAAACTATTTTCCCCATGTCAAGGTTGACACGTAAACTGTAGAGAGGTGAGAAAGTCAGCAGGGAAAACAATTGAGGAACAATTCCTGTACAGTTTTTCTGATTGAAATCAACCCCTCCCCCCAAGTTCCTCTGTGGCCCCATGGATTCAATATGTCGGTCAACTTCCCCCACATAAAACATCCCTTGTACATATGAAATTAGCATGCAGTGTTTCAGGTGAGTTTCATGATTCATGAAACAGTTTTATGTGAAGGCTCAAACTCTCAGAATTCCACTCCTAGGCCCGGTACGGAGACTGTAAACCGTGGTTTGCCACTTTGTGTGCAAGTGGAAATGTAATGCACCCAATAACTCGTTAACAGCCAACAGCCATTTGCTTCTCCCTCCAGGCTTGGAAAGTATTCAAACCACAGTTTATTACCAAATATGGAAGCTTTAAAATATCATTTTGCACAGAAGGGCAGGACAATGCACACATGCCTGAGCTCATGCTGCCTCATCTGTGTAACAAACCATGGTTTGTTGTGATGTCTGAACTGGGCTACAGGTGCATTACATGTGGAATCCTACTCTTTAGCATTAGTTCTAAAAGCAGCTTTTTCCTGAAACACAGCTTTAATGGCGCTCAGAATAAGGTAGCGGGCTCAGCTTGCTATTTATGGTATAGTTCAAGTAAGGGCCAAGCAAATAAGAAACCCTGAATAACACCACAACAAAACTAATGGGAGGGGAGAATATCATACCTAATAGGAATTATATTTGAGAAGAGAAGAAGAAATCTGATGATCTGAAGGTACCAGCGGCCAGCGAAGTGCTGAAGGGCGACCATGACCAGAGAGACCACCACCAAGGCCCCAAAGAGAATCTTGGTGAGGCAGTTCACTTCCAGATCGAAGAGGCCAATCTGAGGAGGAGAACAGCAACAAAGAGATTGCTTGCAACACACAACAGCGATGGGCTATTTTTCACTCTCAGTAGTCCATGCTGAGCAAAGTCACACCCTGAGGTGTGGAGAAAGTAGATATTGCATAGTTTCCCCTCCCCGTCTCATAAGGAACTTGGACTCATCCCTCTCTGAAGAGGGTTTCTAAGTATGTTGGATTGAACGCACTCACAAACCTCCTTGTGACTAGGAACTCTGAACAACAACTACTAGTACTACAACAACCGGGTTCTTCACCCTAAGTTCCCAGGGTAGGTAAAGGCAATTTAAACCCAACACTGAAAACAACTTACAATCACAGAAATAAGGTAGATCCTAAAAAATAAACACCTCAAACATCAAAAGACATGGTAAAGAGGTGAATCTTCAGCATTTGTCAAAAGCTGTACAATGAAGGTGCCAGACTCCACAACTTAGGAGCTGCTACCAAAATGCCCTTCCCAGGCCTCCACTCCCAGAGCTTCTGAGGGCGGTGAAAGACCAAGAGAGCCCCCTCTGCTACTCTTAGCACTCAAGAGGGTCTGTTGGGAAGGAGGTGGTCTTCCAGGTATTTGGGGTCTGTTCATGAGGAGGCTTGAGAGCCAGTGTTGTGTAGTGGTTAAGAGCGGTAGTCTCGTAATCTGGGGAACCGGGTTCGCGTCTCCGCTCCTCCACATGCAGCTGCTGGGTGATCTTGGGCTAGTCACACTTCTTTGAAGTCTCTCAGCCCCACTCACCTCACAGAGTGTTTGTTGTGGGGGAGGAAGGGAAAGGAGAATGTTAGCCGCTTTGAGACTCCTTAAGGGGAGTGAAAGGCGGGATATCAAATCCAAACTCCTCTTCTTCTTCTTCTTGTAATCCAGGCAAAAGCACCTACAAGCTTGCGTCAGTTCTCCACACAAACATGGGGAGTAGAGCGGGGCTTGGTCCTTACTTTCCTCCCTTTACATATTTTGGCCCTTCCATGTCCAGGCCAAGCGCCTGAAGGCTACAATGGCCTTAATATCAAAGACCCAAGAAGCTGTTTGGGTTGGTTGCCATGTGTGAGCCATAATGTGCAAAGCCACCCCATCCAGAAATGTCAGCTCGCACACTGCATTTTTAGGGGTACAGCTCACTTAGGTGCACCTGTGACAAACACATCCACCATACAAGTACAATTCCTGCAAGTCAGGACTGGTCAAAACCAGGGTCTGGGAAAGTCAGGACTGGGAAACCAGGATCTGCTAGATGAGAATGAGTAGAGCAGACCAAGAAATCTCTCCTTACCTTACTCCGCGGATTTGAAGTGTTCATGACACTACGCAGCTCCCGCCCTGTGTACAGAACAACTCCCACAACCGTTCCTGAGGAAACAAAAAGATTCATATTCCAGTTGATACCAATTGGAAAGGAAATAGTTGTTTAAAAAACAGAAAGTGGACACGTGGAAATGTACTCCTTCAGGAGGTTGTGGTCTCTCCTTTACTAGAGGTTTTTAAGCAGAAGTTAGAGGGCCATCTGTCATGGATGCTTTAGCTGAGATTCCTGCATTGCATGGCACTGAGCATTGGGCTCAGGTTCAACTTCACACCATGGGATTCCTCCCCTTGAACACTGCTGAGTGTCCAAAATTATACCAGCGCTTAAGTGCTGTCAGACCTTGACAGCAAGTACCAAACTGACATCAAATCAGATGCACCTTTTAAATGCCTCAACTAAACACAAAGCTTTCTAAGGGAGAGATGCACAAGCTGCCCTAGCAGGAATTAAAAAAATAGCTCTTTCTTGAAATGCATTTACTAGAGCAGAGACTGGGTACAAGTGCCCTTCTACAGTTCCAATCAGCTCCAACCATTGGCCACGTTGGCTGGGTCTAATGGGAGTTGTGGTTCCATGGGGGATATTAGATATTAGGCTCTTCCATATATTAGAGAGCTCTTCTACTCCCTGCCCTTAATGCATAACACATCTGGTCTTGCTTTTACAAGATGCTCTCTTACAGAGCTACAAACCAGGGGGTAGCCTTTATTTGGAGATCTTTTACCCTAGCTTCCATTTAAAATCTCTTTGACACCCTTTCTGTTACAGATTTCAAATGTCAATATTGAGAGCAATTAAGTGTTATTCAAGCAGGGGATGCTTTGCCCAAAGGTTATTGGAATTCCAAAGGCTTTCTCATCTATAAATGTTCGAGGGGTAATTAGACGTCAGCTCAAAGTCCCTAGAGGTGTTAGGACAAGTGGGGAACTTCATCCCAGCCACTAATTCCCACTGACAAGAGATGATTATTTAAATTGCAAAGGGAGTTTTTAAAAATTGCTAACATACTCCGGGAGACATTCAACATTTACTCTGGCCTTACCTGAAGCAATCACTGTGCTGGCCCACAGGGTGTTTTCGATACTTAAGCTCTCATTCACTGGAGGGTCACTGTCCTCCTGAAAGAGTTACCAAAAAATAGTAAAAAAGCACTGTCAACACATGGGGGAAGTATCTACAAGCTTGGGGAAATGCAAGTCAGGAAAAGAGTTTGGGTGGAACCCCAAGTGTGGTGTGAGATTGGGGTGGGAGGGAATAGTTTAATGAGACCTGAACATGCTCGTGGGAGGTGGAAAACTAAGAAGAAGAAGAGTAGTTTGGATTTGATATCCCGCCTTTCACTCCCCTTCAGGGGTCTCAAAGCGGCTAACAATCTCCTTTCCCTTCCTCCCCCACAACAAACACTCTGTGAGGTGAGTGGGGCTGAGAGACTTCAAAGAAGTGTGACTGGCCCAAGGTCACCCAGCAGCTGCATGTGGAGGAGCGGAGACGCGAACCCAGTTCCCCAGATTACATGACTACCGCTCTTAACCACTACACCACAATGGAATGGAATACCTTAGAAAAGGGAATGAATGGCTGGCTGGCACCCTGAGCAGCAGCACTCTGCACTGCAATGATTTGTTACAGAATAACAGCAACTTATTTGTCCTAGAAAGCACAAGGCACTTCTACGAGTGATGTTTTATGATCCTCGCAGCACACTGAACATCTCCAACCTCTTCTGAAAGAATCTGGAGGTGGTCTCCACTAACCCAGGGTCCTTAAGAGGTTTTTAGATTTCTTGCCCAACAGCAACCACTTACTCTAGTGAAAGTGCCAACAAAGTTGTGGATGTCAATGTTAGGCTCCTCTGCATACACATATGATCGGATCTGGAGAAGGTCCTATGGAGAAGGATAAAAATGAGTTACAACGACGAGTTAACAACTTTGCTGTTTAAAGTAAGTCCTCTTTTCCAAATAAATGATAGGCGCTTCTGGGGAGGGGGAAGCAGGAGAGGGCAGATGAAGAGGAAACTTCTTTTAAATTAGTGAAATATGTACACCAACTTTCCATCTAATTGACTATCGTGGTTAGAGAATGCTTCAACATGCTTTGTTTTTTACAGATGCCATCAATCTCATTGGAGCTGCAGGAAAATACACGCTCGTGTGAACTGCGTCCCTGGTTTTTTAAAAATTATGGCTGCATTTTAGAGGGCAATGGTTAAAAAAGGGAAATTAGAAAACTTTACATACAGAAGCAGTGGGCAGCCTCTGAGTGCAGCTGACAGGCAGGCGCAACTTCCAGTCTGTTTCGCCATCCAGCTGATCCGTACGTAGAAAGCAGGACCCTGTGGGTTTTAAATCTGTGTTAATGGGGCTTTGGTGGTTGCTCTTCAAACTGCATCTCAAAGGCAGCTACATATTTAGGGAGAGAGTGTTCCAGTAGACCTTGTGGACCTTGGAGCTGGCCTCAGGCACCAGGCCTGTTGACAGACCAACTCTGCATTATACAGATACAGTGGTACCTCGGTTTAAGAACAGTCCTGTTTACAAACGATTCGGTTTATGAACTCCGCAAAACCGGAAGTAGTGTCCCGGTTTGTGAACTTTACCTCGGTCTAGGAACGGAATCTGAACAGTGGAAGGGCACTGGCGGTGGGAGGCCTCATTAGGGAAAGCGCAACTCTGTTTAAGAACGGACTTCCAGAATGGATTAAGTTCGTAAACCGAGGTACCATTGTATTCCAAAAATGAAACCTTCATCTGGTTGTGTTCAATTCCTGGCATACCCAGTAAGAAGGATCAGAGAGCTTGTGAGGACAAAAGAGCTCTACCTAAGACTCATAAGAGCTACTGCTAGATGGACAAATAGACTGAACTGGTATGAGAGCTTTCTATGCAGTTTAAACACTCTTACTGAATAACACCACACCAGAAGGATACACCATCTTGTTTCATGTGGCATGCCATTGGTTCTTATAACAAAACAGAACCATGAGTCAGAATCCTTCATTGCCGCTTCCTCCTCCTCCATGATTTGCAGACAAGATTTAATGTAATTAAATCTACACATTTTGAAAATTGTTTGTCTTATTGCAACAACTTAAGAGGTGTCAAAATGTATAGCAATCAGATTTTGAATGACGACTCCTGAGATAAAGAAGCAGGTTTCAAAAATGCACAGTTTTTTCAGTTTCTTAGAATTCCCAAGCAACGCCGGGCACATTCCTAGTGCAAATTAAGCAAAAAACAACAACACGTAATTTGCTTGATTTGCATGTGCTGCACAGATTCAAGAGCTTAGCACGGCAGCCTAGCACAGGGTGACTTTTGCTATGTTGGCTGGGGCTGACAGGAGTTGTAGGCTGGATCTACACAGCTATTTTAAAAAGTTATTTTTAAAAAGTTATAAAAGCTCACAATGGAAATTATCATTGACTTCTGATTTCAGCTCCACGGCGCCACCTGGTGTCACATTGTTATAATGCATTTATAACGTTATAAATTGACTAATGTAGCTGAGTCTGTAGTCCAAATTTTTTGGAGGGAACCAGTTTGGAGAAGGCTGGCGTTAAGCATGGAGGGAAGGACCTTATTTACTTGGCATTCTCCAACACTGCCGTCTATTAGCTCTGACCATCCACACTGGCCCCATCCACACCAAATGGAAGCAAAACTACTAGGCATAATTCACCCAAGCCAGTATCCCACCAGGGGTGTGATGTGAGCAGAGGCTTTCCTATTCATCACCTCTCTCTTTCTTTGGCATGGCCGCAAGCCTATCAACCCAATTGCTCCAGTGCTTGGGGTGGCTCCATGTGTGCCCCCCCCACTGCACTTTTGATCAGGGTCATTGTCTCCGTATGACCCACAAACAATTTGACTGCGGCCACCAAGACTGTAATATGACTGCACTTGAATAAACACTGCTACCAGCAGCTGTCCGCTTGATAAATATTATTGCACGCAGACAGGGTCCCAGTGTCTACAAAACCATGCAAGCTTTTTTTTTTTAAAAAAAAAATCAAGTCTTTTCTTTTCTTGCAGTTCTTCTTGGGGGCCAAGTAAATAAACATGAGAAGGAACCCCAGGATGGCCGCTTACATAATATATATAATCTATCTATCTATCGGTTTTAAAGGGTGCATTTTTCACACTCTGAATAAATGGCGGCACATGTCAAAAGACAAGCCAGTATGAAGCTCCCAGTGAGCGACGGTGCGCAGCATCAATCTCCTTTAACCTCGCATTGCCTGACCTTGCGCAACAGGACACCCTACAGGATAAACTAATTGCTATGGTTCGAACGATCACAAACGATAAAACAAAGACAGTAGCCAAGCTATCGAAAAAGGAGCCTCTGAATCGGGCAGACCAGCTAAGCCTAAAAATCGCATGCACTTGGACTACGTTTTCAAAACGATTCTTTTGTCCCATAAAAACAACAACAACAAACCACCATTAAAGATCATTTTCACTATTGGTTCCAGATGTTTACCGTTCTTTTCCGACGTCCTGAGGAAGATCATGTCAGCAGGGACCCTCTGGTTCTGTTTTGAGAGATGGAAGGTGGGTTTTGAATGTTCAGCATACAATCAATGGCTACTAGTCACTGCTTAGTAAACTAGGCATCCCATAGGCCTTTTGTTGGCCACTGAAATGGTGGGCTTGCTGGGCCTATGGTCTCACCTGGCAGGGCTCTTGTTATATTAACTGGTGCAACAGAGTGGTTAAGAAAAGCACTTTTTTGGCCATTGTCCTCCACACGATTATGATCACATAAAGGAAGCTGCACCTGCTGGTCTAACCCCATATTATGAATTAAGTTAACAATATGGGTGGGTGTTATAAAATATAAAGAGCAGTTCCACATATTTTATTAAAATATTATCCTTATTTCTATGATAATGCTGTGCATTACTACTTTAAAGACTTTGAAACATTTAAGCTAGGGTGTTTATGTATTAAGAGAATTTATATGCCTCCTTTTGTTTCAAAATGAAATGTCAAGGCAGTTCACAATCTAAAACAACAGAATATTACAATAAAAGCAGCCCAGTGAAGCAAAGTTAAAGTTATCAGTCACAGGAACCTGGAAGGCCAGGAACCAGTATTAATGGTCAAGAAAATGCTCAGCTGAAGAGGTACATTTTCAGTGTCAATAGTGTTAGGAAAAGAGAGAGAAAAGGATAGTGTACAATGTCAGACTAAGCTGGCTCTCCCTCCCAGCATGTTAAAAGTAGTAAGAAAAGTATAAAATCTTTACAAATCCATATGTACCTTTTCCACAATAATAAGGTCCCCAACTTGAATACTGGAACTTTTCACTTTTACTGTACCTGTTGTGGGGGAAAAGACACACTTTAATAACATTCATTTCTCTCCCATGTTGTTTAATATGTGGAATCAATATTTTTGCCTTAAACTGCAGCGCCATTAAAAGAACTTCAAAGTAAGTGGTTGATTGACTGAAATTGTCCTCCAAAAAAATAAAAATCAATCAACTAAAATTTCTTCTTCTTTTATGTTGATCAATCCTGCCCTGCATTTCTAACATCTAAACTTACATTTTATTTACTTAAAAGCATTTATAATAAGATTAATATTTTAAAAATATTTTAATTAGTATACCACACATAATATAAAAACAAAACAGCATCCTAAAAACAGAGATGCAACACAAAAACCAGTAAACCAGAATTAAAAGGAAAAAACCCACCCCCAAACCCAGACAAAGTCAATTTTATGCATCAGGGAAAGCCTAGGTAAAGAGATATATCTTTACAAGACATCTGAAGCAGCAAGTGGGTACTATTTAACATAAAGCAGAATGAAGACCCTTTGCAGTGTAGGGGCAATGGGGAAAAAATCCAATTTCCAGGTCACCACCCTGCAATATTTTGTAGGGTCTAGTCCAGGGGTCCCCAAACTAAGGCCCGCAGGTTGGATAAGGCCAGAGGGATTCATTTATCCAGCCGGCAGTGACCCCCGCCACCCGCTCTTACCGGCACTGCGCTGCACGGCTGCCCACTTGTGGATCGGAGGAGCACCAGAAATATCTTGTGCACATGTGCAAGCGTTATTTCCGGTGCACATCTGGGTTGGTGGAGGCCCGTGCACATGCACACAAGCTATTTCCAGTGCTCCTCCGACCCGGAAGTGCACCTGAAATAGCATGTGGGCACGCCCTCCCGCGCCCTCCAGCCCACCGCACGATTGGCGCTGGAGACTGGCCCGAGATGCGGTAAGTTTGCTGACCCCTAGTCTAGTCCCATGAGCAAAATCATCCCCAGATTATTCAAGTGGTCCTACAGGTCTATACTGGGGCCGTCAAGTATAAAACACATGGATGACAAGTTAGCATGGCTTCATGCACCATAGGCGAATATGAAGCTGCCTAATGCTATATAGGAGTGACCCTATTTGCCTACTCTGCCTGCCAGTCTCTGAGACCACACAGGCTGTTCATTCCCTGTTTCCTGATCCTGAGAATTGGAGATGCCAGGATTCAAACCTGAAACCGTCTGCATACAACCGACATGCTCTGTCACTTAGCTACGGTCCCATGCCTTAAAAAAGAATGATGACATAGCTCAGTCAGTAGAGCCTGAAGCTCTTCATCTCAGGGTCGTGAGTTTGAGCCCCGTGTTGGGGGGGGGGAATCCTGCTTTGCAAGGGGGTTGGACTAGATGATCCCCGGGGTTCCTTCCAATTCTAAAATTGTATGATTCTATGGCTCCAGTCTTCCCTGGTATATCTTCCCAACCAGTGCAATGCCCTGCTGGTGCTCAGAGGAAGGCGCCATGCATCTTAGGGCATTGCACTAGGGAGGAAATCATGGACTGCTTGTCAACTTTCTTCCCTCACTTAAAAGGTAAAGGGACCCCTGACCGTTAAGTCCAGTGACAGACAACTCTGGGGTTGTGGTGCTCATCTTGCCGGACTGGCCGAGGGAACCGGCGTACAGCTTCCGGGTCATGTGGCCAGCATGACTAAGCCGCTTCTGGTGAACCAGAGCAGGACACGGAAATGCCATTTACCTTCCCGCCAGAGCAGTACCTATTTATCTACTTGCACTTTGACATGCTTTTGAACTGCTAGGTTGGCAGGAACAGGGACCAAGCAATGGGAGCTCACCCCGTCGCGGGGATTCAAACTGCCGACCTTCTGATCACCAAGCCCTAGGCTCTCCAAAAGTCCCTTTTAGAACAACCAAACATCATGGAGCATCTTTATAACAGGACGTCACCATCATCACCACCAGTGGTTTCCACTTCATCCCACAAAGGCAGAGCTAGCTCTTTGCACCCAACATAAGGGACCAAACATTAGGCCAAAACAGCAGTTGCCCCGGATTTAAAACACTTTTATGCCCCGGCTGGACGTATGCCCAGTGTCCCAACTCCTGAGCGAAACAACTGAAACTACTTCTAAACCCCTGCTGTGCTGGTGACAAACAGCACATTTAACAAAAGTGCCTCCTGGCTTCTGCTAATAAAAGCCACAGACTTCCTTTGATGCTGTAATGATTGCTACAAATTGCAAAACTAAGTCATGGGGAAACAGTTGCAACAATATCGATTCGCTGGTAAAAAGGAAAAGGGGGAAAAAAGGCTCTAACAAATTCCTCTCGCTCACAACTGCTGGCCATCACTGCACAGCAGCGAAATATTGGCTGTGTGACTCAAAGATTCTTTTCAGGGAGAGTTGAATGTTCACACATTGGGCAGTCTTTTACACACACACACACACACACACACACACACACACACACTGCAGTTCCTTGTTGCATTCTCACAGGCCCATACAAGATCATCGTAAACAATTGGGCCGATGAGTACAGTGGTACCTCGGGTTAAGTACTTAATTCGTTCTGGAGGTCCATACTTAACCTGAAGCACCACTTTTAGCCAATGGGGCCTCCTGCTGCTGCCGCGCTGCCGGAGCACGATTTCTGTTCTCATCCTGAAGCAAAGTTCTTAACCTGAAGCACTATTTCTGGGTTAGCGGAGGCTGTAACCTGAAGCATATGTAACCCGAGGTACCACTGTACTTACTGTTCCCAACCCTAACCCTGCGGAAAGCCATCTAATTAGACTTTAATTTGATTCTGGCCTGTTTTTATGAGGTAATTTAATTATTGTTTGATTTCATACCAATATTATATATTTGATGTTAGCTGCCCTGAGCCTGACTTCTGCCGGGGAGGGCGGGATATAAATAAAAGTTGTTTATTATTATTATATCAGGGGCTCATATATTAAGCTGCATTAATTGTTTATTGTTTGCTCTTGCTTTGCCGATATGCTACTGTGTCTTATGTTATGCATTTGGTGTGGTTAGGTAAAGACATAGCTGGGCCCCAAATGAGCATGCAGTCACTTTGCAAACTTTGACAATCATCTGATCCTCAGGACTTGAAATAATAATAATAATAAATTTTATTTATATCCCGCCCTCCCCAGCCAAAGCCGGGCTCAGGGCGGCTAACAACAATAAAACAGTACAAAAGTACAGCATAAACAGCACTCTAAAATCCAGCGCCGAGGGCCTTCTGATGGTTCCCTCATTGCGAGAGGCAAAGCTACAGGGAACCAGGCAGAGGGCCTTCTCGGTAGTGGCGCCTGCCCTGTGGAACGCCCTCCCATCAGATGTCAAAACGATAAACTACTACCTGACATTCAGAAGACATCTTAAGGCAGCCCTGTTCAGGGAAGTTTTTAACGTGTGATATTTTACTGTATCTTTGGTTTTTATGGAAGCCGCCCAGAGTGGCTGGGGAGGCCCAGCCAGATGGGCGGGGTATAAATAATAAATTATTATTATTATTATTATTATTATTATTATTATTATTATTATTATTATTATTTTCATTATAAAATTAATTAATTCAAGCCACTGGCAACCATTGGGCCAGAGCACCACGAAAAAGGGGGACCTGCCAGAGCATGCAGCCCCTTCCTTCTTCCCCTCTGGCCATGCCACCATTAATCCCGGAAGTCTTCAATAAACCCTAGTTCCCCATGATAGCTGAACAAGGAAACTATGGGTTGCACCCAACATTAGTTCTACTCAGAGAAAACCTACTGAAATTAGTAAGAATCACTAACTTAGATCTACTAATTTCAATGGTCCTACACCCCAGTAAAACTTGTTTGTATACAAGTCTATGGTTACAAGGCATATTAAGCAGAGGGTTAAGACCCTGGCTTATCTTTAACCATAGCTTCCCAGTTCCGATGCAATGGAGTCTACAATGAAGACTTCCGGGGTTAATTGTGTTGAGAAGGGAAAGAGAAGTGGCTGCACAAGGATGCAGCATGTGTGTATCACAGCTTATTAAACTGTGATCATCCAAACCATTATTATTATTATTATTATTATTATTATTATTATTATTATTATTATTATCCAAATTAGGCAAGCAACTATGTCATTCCAGTCTTGATTTCCAGCTATGCATACCAACTTTTTTTTAAACGAGTCAACTGAGGTTCATGATGATCCAAGTGCCACCACTGCAAAATAAAAATACTACAGAAGTGAAAAATTAATACATCCCATTAACAGCAGCACTGCGCCTTTGCTGTATGAAAAGGTGGCACCAAGATAAAACTGATAATGCAACTGGTATTGCCAATTAGCTGTTTGCTTTCGGGTTCTTTATATAGATCTCTCTGACGTGATCCTTGACACTGCAAAGGTAACCAGCACTAGCAACGGGGAATGCCTTCTTTATATAAAACTCTCAGTGGAGACATATCTGTGATGGCTCACTGCAGCCCTGAGCTCCTCAGTGACCGGGATGCATATCATTTGCAAACACAAAATCAAAACAAAATGTCCCCAGGAACAAATCAAAACATACCCAAGACAGTTTTCATCTGTTCTGGTACGCTTTTGGCTTTTAGGTGGCCTTGCGCTCTGTAACTTGCAAAAATAAGAGCACAAAAGGTTTGGGAAAATATTGTTTTTCGATACAGCTGGTAAATGCCAGTGATCTGTATCAAAGGAGCACTCTGCTGGCAGGAGGTCTCTTTCCATTTCATAGGGTGGGTTTTGGTTTTTTTATGTAGTTCTCCCTTACTACGCTCTGTAATCTTGAAAGGGGGTTGAGGGGGGGAAGGAAGAAAAGAAAAACAACTCTGGAATTTTAAATCAACAGCCTAGTGAGTATCTAAACAGAAATCTGGCCTGCAAATTTAATAGCAAAGTTGAGTTGATGGATGGATGAATAGGAAACCTGAATTTGATTTATACAGATGGTTTGAAACTATTTGCAAAGCTCCTCTTTGGTGCCTCAAAAGGTAGCAGTAAAACAAGTCGTAAAGATAACAAGCTGTGATTGCCCAATATGAAATTAAATGTAAGAGAAAAGTTGTCAAATTTTCACAATACAATTACTTCTATTTCACCCTCTCCCATAACCAGCCCAGCAAACCGGAGGGAAATTTGAAAAGATTTGGGTCTGCCACATCATATTTTCAATTATACTTGCACCCTACCCTTTCTCCAGTTATGGTATTGCACTGCCCATCACAAGTTTAAAATCATAGTTTTGTGGAGTTGGAAAGGACCACGAGGATCATGTAGTCCAACTCTCCCTGCTATGCAGGAATCTTTTGCCCAACATGAGGCTCATGTTGACCTTGAGATTAAGAGACTCATGCTCTACTGACTGAGCTATCCCAGGTCCAAGGCCACACCTCTGACTTCCCTCGAGCACATTTTAGCACAGGGATGGGGAATCTCCAGAAGCTGCTGGACTCCAACTCCCATCATCCCTGACCATGGGCCACCCTGGCTAGGGCTGATGGGAGCTGGGAGCCCAACAACATCCAGAGAGCCACAGATTCTCCATCTCTGGCTTAGTACATCATCTGAACTGTGGTTCAGCTTAATTATAGTTTATCACCAAAAAAGCCAACTTCAAACCATGGGTTATGAATCTGGTTCATTTGAAACAAGTCACAGTTAACCGCAGTTCAGGTTTCAGGTGAAAGACTAGAAAAACTAAACTATGTGACATCTAATCGTGGCCAGTGACCAACCCCAGGGAGGAAGTTCCAAAACTTTGCTTGCTCTCTCCTCCCGCCCACCAACTGCTTACACATAGAGTACACCTCTCCCTTCTAGCACATATTCCAAACAGCTAGTTCACATCATTTCCTTCCCCACCCCACCCCCACTCAAAATAGCAGCAGAACAATCAGATGCAAATAAATCCCTGAAACACCTGCTCCAGAAAAAAAGGTCATTGCCCATGACTTTGAAAGAAGGGGCACCACATGAAAACAGGTACCAGTGTGGGTAATATATAAAACTGGGACATCTTTTTCAATAAAGGACTGGAGGAGGAAAATCCATCCCTTAGAAATCTAGCATGAAAAACAGGCCAGACCTCTTTCATTTTCTTTTTAAGGATTCCTTGTTCTCAATTTATCTGCACCTCTGGGTTTTTTGTTGGTGTATGATGTCGAGAGAACGTGCCATTTAAAAACAATTTAATATGCCCAAATCTAGACCACCTTTTAATTCCCAGAACGTAGAAAGCACACTCCTATGAAATAATGCAAATATTGCTGTGAGGGCTGTCAACTAATTGAAGCTTGAGATTTGCTTCTGGACAATTACAATGATGGGGATCCTGAAGTACATGAAATTCACAGAAGGGGATCTACCTCCAAAAGACTTTTCTAAGTACCAGGGGCCCTTGCAAACAGCATGCAGTATTTTGGGATGACTCATCCTATGTCCTATTACACTTCTCACAAGAAAATTTCCCCTTCCTCCACCTCCTCCTCCTCCAGCTTCCCCCACCCCCCAAATAACCCTATATATCTACAGGGTCCTCCAACTCTCCAAAGCAAATCTGGTCAGCATGCAGCTTGCAAGAGGGAGGAGAGGAAGGCAGTGGCGTAGCGTGGGGGGTGCAGGGGGGGCCGGCCGCACCGGGCGCAACATCTGGGGTTAGGGCAAATCCACAGGTTAGGGGGCGCAAATCCACGGGTTAGGGGGCACAAATCCACAGGTTAGGGGGCGCAAATTACTTGCCTTGCCCCGGGTGCTGACAACCCACGCTACGCCACTGGAGGAAGGGAGAGTCCTGGTGCAGGAGTTTAAGCCCGTTCTGCTAGCGGATGCTCACAATGGGATTTCACCCAAGGAGCCTTACTTCTGAACAAATATGAATGGGATTAGGTTGCATGCCTAATTTGCAACACGCATTCCCATTCTGAAAAGATCCAAGTCAGGATTAGGATATTCAACACATTCAGACCACCTATCGCTTATAATCTATAAAATGGATGTGGCTTTAGCAGCCTTCATCTCAAAAATATGAACTCCTTCGTATTCTCCCCTTCAATGCAACATACGCCATAATTATTCTGAGTAACTGGCCAGATCCCAATATGCATTGAATACTCATTCTCTGTGGAAGGTTCCCATTCCCTGAGAACTTATTGCCCAATTGTAGCTGGAAATTTATCTGTTCTGTCATCAGGAGTCTCTGATGCTCTGCCAGGGCCAGATGAAACAGAGGGGACTTGCTAAGCCATGTGCCTGTGTGCTTGGCAACACCCCCCTTCCACAGTCAAACCCCAACCCCCCCTTTCAGAAACTTTGCTCCTCCAATTGTCAGCAACATTTGATTGAGTTGCAACTCCCTGCTGTTCGGGCAGTCAGCTAAGGGACTCTGCAAGCAGATGTAGAAAGCTGGAGCCAAATAGCTGACCTCTCGCTGTGAGCTTGCTGTAGATCTGCGAGTTCACTTCCTTGTCACGCATGTAGCACCGGATCTCTTCCACAGCCTCACGGATGATGGTAACGGCGAGGACAAAGCCCTAGGAGAGAGCAGGAGGGAGAGGGGTCATTGAAAATGTGTGGATAAAAGCCCAAGGAACTCCCACTCTGTGCATGGAAAGCCACTGAATGTCGGGAATACATTCTGGAGTGTGCGGCCTGCCAGATGATATACGGTGACACTTTTCATTAAAATTGTCAGACTCTATAGAGAAAACTAAGCATTGAGCTGTGTCTTCATTTAAAAAGGAACTCCACAAAACCTTAAAGCTAAACGTTCTTCGTGTTTTAAGTACTTGGGCAGCTCCAGAGGACCTGTTTGTTTATTTATTGAGCATCTATCCTGATCTGCTTGCACAACGTTTATGAGGATATTAAATTATACGACAATAAGCACTCATCTTGCCTTATTCCTGACTTGGTTGTGGAGTGTTTATACATCTTTCCATTAGCCAGTCATTCATTACACAATTTTCAGGTCAGTTCTCTGCCATCTTCCTATGTGCAAAAAGGGTGTAGATTTTATGTATCCGTAAACTGACTGCACATTTATAAACTGAATGTTTTGGTAATCATTTGTCATGAAAGGGTCAAATGATAGCTACCAGGACTAAGGACCACTTGGTTATATATTTATATAATCCGTCCTGAGATTCTTAGCACTCAATGTATGTTAAATGCCTTGATGTCCTTCATTGGTCGGTGAAGACTATTTTATTCCAGCATGTTTTTGGCAACAGACTAGTTTTAAGGAAAGGACTTTCCATAGTGCTGCACTGTTTTTACTATCTGCGTTTTAATAGATTTGTTTTTGTATTCTATTTTTTATATAATTTTATGTTGTTTTAATTCTATTACAGTTTAATTGCTTTTTAGTTTTAATTTCTGTAAGTTGCCTTGAGTCCCAGTCTAGGGAAAAGGCAGGATAAATAATATTATAATATAAATATAATAACAACACAAACATATAATTATTAAACGTATTATCTTTTTTTGTACTATGCTTATTCAATAACTTTTTTCTTTTAAAGAATCACATTTGTTGTATGAGGGTGACAGAGTGCTTTAATCCACTGACAATGCAAAAAACCTAAATTTCCAGAGTAACATACCCTTCAACATTTCTCTGATGAAAATGGGGACATCCCATTCCATAATGATAATTTTACTATTTATACCCTACACCCCTTACTGGGTTGCTGCAGCCACTCTGGGCAGCTTCCAACATATATCAAAACATAATAAAACATTAAACATGTAAAAACAACAACACCCTTCCCTATTCAGGATTGCCTTCAGACGGCTCGAGAGACAGATAATTCCATCCCCCCCAACATTTCTCCAGTGAAAATATAGACATCCTAAGGAAAAGTGGGACATTCCAGGATCAAATCAGAAACCTTCTCTTCTCTAAATAAGGGACATCCCTGGAAAATAGGAACACCCTGGTCTGGAGGCATTCTTTGTTTTGTCTTTTAAAAAAACCAATGCACAACAATATCCAAAAGAACATTCTCAATGTTGACACACAAACCTCTTAATATTTCTTTTCCTTACCTGTATCATGGAATTATAATTTGTTACTTAAATGCAGTTAAGCCCTACCCACCTGCCACAACGCCTCCTCAAAGGAAACTAATCTGTCTGGCTAATTTCAGGGCATCCCTTGCAAAACTTCTCATGAACATTAATTCAGAAGTGCATTGCTACATGCCCTCAAGGCTTGGGGACGCTTTGCAAAGAGATGCAAATCCTTCTGAGGGGATACAGGACAGCTGCACAAATTTGGAAGTCACTGCATGAAGCCAGCCCTAAGGGGTTTTTCATTATTTCTCCTTTGAGGGCACCAAGTTGTCATGGCATGCATGTGCCCCCCTCACCCCCCAAAAAAGATGGAAATCTCCTCTGGCACTTATAGACTTTATATACCATGGCTTCTGAATGTTTTGCAGCATTTCAAACTATTGTTTTTAATTAGCATTCTGATAAAGAGTCCAAAAACATAGCTCACTATTGCTACAGGCAACACACAAAGTGATAAGCCGCTGTGATGTATTTTTATGATACAGCAGTATATATTTTTTATAAATAATCTAGATGCATTTGGCAATCAAGGATTTCAAACAATCACTCCTCCCCCCCCCCAAAAAAAAAACCCCTAGCAGCCTGCAATGAACAAAAGGCCTTTTATATATAGGCCTGGCAGCTCACATGCTGAATTTCAATGGTTCGTGTGATGTGGGGGCAAATCACAATGGCCTTATAGGTTTGCAAGCCAGCCTTGCAAAAACCAGCCTCTAACTCTCCGCTTCTCTTTCCCAAGCCATAACAAATGAAACAGTGTAGCTACAGGCAAGCACCGGATTGTTGACACAATGGCATATATAAAATGAGGCCGCAGAATTCGGGATCACAAGAATCTCCGCTATTGTTTAAACGGGTTCAAGTTTCTTGTCTTTGCAGCTGTGAAGGTATGCTTGAAAGGGTGCAGGCAAAGTCTGCCAAAATCTCAGAAAGCTAGTGGCTGGGGGCTTCCAGTAGCTACCTTGAATTTGTTTCCTGCCCTTCCCAATGACTAGCAAACCCAGCAATGTACAAAACAGTTAAAATAAAAGGATGGTGCAAAACAAGACAATTTGGAAAACCAATAAATTAATTGCTCTAACCGGTTTCAGGGAGGTGCAATTCAGACGAAGACACCACACTGTTCCAATCAAATTTAAAGCTACCCTCCTTGGCTTAAAATAAAAATAAAACCTTCTGGGAAAACTACACAGATTTGCCGCACAGCAACCCAGTCTGAACATTATATTAAGTAATATTAAAAACAAAAGCAAACAATGGTTTATGTGTACAAGTTCCCATGGACAGAGCCTGGTTTGTCATGACATTTAAATCCAGACTTGGTGGGTTGCTTCATATATAATATAAAATAATTTATTATTTATACCCCACCCATCTGGCTGGGCTTCCCCAGCCACTCTGGGCGGCTTCCAACAAAGTATTAAAATACAGTGGTCTGTTAAACATTAAAAGCTTCCCTAAACAGGGCTGCCTTCAGATGTCTTCCAAAAGTCTGGTAGTTGTTCTTCTCTTTGACATCTGCTGGGAGGGCGTTCCACAGGGCGGGTGCCACTACCGAGAAGGCCCTCTGACTGGTTCCCTGTAACTTGGCTTCTCACAGTGAGGGTAAACACCAAGAAGGTCCTCAGCGCTGGACCTCAGTGTCCAGGCAGAACGATGGGGATGGAGACGCTCCTTCAGGTATACTGAACTAAGGCTGTTTAGGGCTTTAAAGGTCAGCACCAACACTTTGAATTGTGCTCGGAATCTTCCTGGGAAGATGCCCTGGGTTGACATCTTCACTGAGTTATCAACTTTGACCCCACAGTTTTGTTCATGGTTAGTGACCATGGGCCGCCATGGGCATATATACGAAGTTAGGATTTTTAAATATTTTTTCCCCACTGGCTTTACACATGCTTACACTGAATTGCATTTGCCATTTCACTACCCATTCATCCAGTTTGGACACCTTTTGGAGCTCCTTGAAATCCCACTTTATTTTCATTGCCTTGAATGATTTGGCATCATCCACAAACCTGGCTACCATACTGCTCACCCCGAGCTCTAGATCATTTGGTTTAATACGGTGTACAAGCTTACCGTATTTTTCGCCCTATAGGATGCACCGGCCCATAGGACGCACCTAGATTTGGGGGGGGGATAAAGGAAAACAATTTATTTCCCCCCCCCCCAGGCATGGGGCTGGGGCGGGGGAAGTCCGAGCATCCCCCACCCCAGCCCCCAGAACAGGGAGCTCTCCGCAAGCTGTTGGAGGCGAGTTCAAAGTCGCACCGGGCTCCCACAGCTTGCGGAGAGCTGCACAAAGCCCGCTCTGGGAGCTTGCGGAGCTGGGGGCGGGCTTCCCCTGTCCCCAGCCCCCAGAACAGGTCCCAGAGCGATTCCGAAGCTGCACGCAGCTTCGCAATCGCTCTGGGAACTTGCGGGGCTGGGGGAGGGGGAAGCCCGCCGCCAGCCTCCAAACCACATCGGGAGACAGCGGGATGGTGCGCTGCGCCTCCCCGCTGTCCCCCGAGCTTGCGGGGCTGGCGGTGGGGCTCTCCTGAAGCCTGCATTCGCCCCATAGGACGCACACACATTTCCCCTTCATTTTTGGAGGGGGAAAAGTGCATCCTATAGGGCGAAAAATACGGTAATTCTGAACCCAACATACAAAATGTCTATCCACTAAGAAACACTGGCCAAATAATATATAGTTAATTGTTGCGGGAATAATTGGTGGAACGTTCACATGATGTCTTACTCTTCCCAGGGTTAACCCAAGGGAATCTCCCTTAGCTGTACTCCTAGAATGGCTGATTTATGGGATAAATTACCTTTTTGGATCAAATATCCCTCGTGCATTTCCTTAGACCTCTGAAGGTCCCAATTTTGAATAGCAAACCTTTATTAAATCACTTTCGGCAGCTACAATTCCCAAACACATAAAGGACAGGCTTCATAAAACAAGCTAACAAAAACCATTTTAAGTTACGGCACCACTTGGATCTCTGAGATAAGGTAACAAAGGACATCTTGTATTCAAACACTGAAACTTTTCTTGAGTAAATAAACTCGATACTACCTACCAAAGGAACCCAATACGTGTAAAGAGCACCGAGCCTCATTTCAGGAACAAATTGAGAACAGGCCAGAAACAAGAAGTAGAGGTTGAAGAAGTACTTGAATTGGTTGAACAGCACCTAAGAAACAGAGTGAGGAACAAGAAAGGCATTTGTAGCAGCACATCTAAGATTAACATGGCTCACCATGGAAATGTTTAAGACAGCTTTTCGCAACCCGGTGCCCTCCCAAAGTTCTGTACTACAACTCCCATCAACTGGATGGAGCTGATGGGGGTTGTAGTTCAAAATATTTGGAGGATACCAAGCTGAAGGCTGTTCCAAGGCATCTAGCAACATTTTAGGAATTCAGCTAACCAGGAAAGCTTTAAGAAAAAAATGCAAACTCCAACACATTCCAGGACATTACAGACATGGAGTCAACTGTGGCTCCCCCATCTATTTTTCCCATTATAGCACAATTTAAATGCTGCATCTATACGGAAAGGACAGTGTGTCCATTGATACATATATCACATGGAAAGAGGACTGAAATGGGAAAAGTCCCAATTTCAGCCCCTTCTCTTCCCTCCATTCAGTTGTGTTGGACTGGGACATTCCTCAGCAACTTCTTCACAGGGTGGCTTATTGGGGCGTAGACAGGGAGAAGCAAAATTAAGCTTCACGTAAATGCAGAAGAGTAGATTGAGCCAATCCAGGTTACAGCTGCCTTAATTGCCCACTCCAAATAAACCACCGGCACTCAACACTCAAATATCAATAGAAGAGGAAAGCACATGGTTTTTCAACATGGCATACATACCCCTGGCAGAAAAGTGAAAAAGTTGTACTTCTGGTTGTTGATCACATTGCGTGGGTATCGCTGGTCCCTCTTTTCTGGGTGTCCAAGCCAAACCGTTCGAGGCCTTGGGTCTCTTCTTCCACAACATCTTAGGCACTCGCAACATCTGTAGGAGGTGGGGGAAGTATTTAAAACGTATTGCATTGAGGACAGCTATCATAAGAGCCGTTGTTGGATCAGTCCTTGGGCCCATACGGTCTAGGATTTCATTTTCAACAATGGCCAGCCAGGAAGCCCACAGGATGCCAAGAAGACAATGACCTTTTCCAGGAGTGGTCAGTACGAAGGATGTTGTTGCAACTTAATAGGAAAGTGCAGGCTGAGTCATACAGACCAAGGCTGCATTCACACCATATATCTAAAGCACTATGATATCACTTTAAATACTCATGGCTTTCCCCAAAGAACTCTGGGAGCTGTAATCTGGTTAAGTGTGCGGAGAATTGTTCAGTGATTCCTATTCCACTCACAGAGCTAAGGTTTACAGAGCGGTTCAACAATCAATTCCTCTTCCTAGGCAACTCTGGAAGTTGTCTCCAAGCCTTAATTCAAATGCTTCTTTCTGAGCTGAGCACTCCATTATTTATTCTAACTCCTGCCTTCCCAACCCAGCACCAACCATATGTTTCAAACAGTGTTAGATACATAAGCTAGGCACCAAATGGCTCCTAAACCAGGGTTACTGTCGCCAAAATGAAATGTCTAGTTGCCATTTTGGGGTCAGGTGGCTCAAAAGTCGTATTTTTCAATGCAGCTTTGGGGTTCCTGAAATTCTCTCTGATTGTGCAGATAGAATATCACAAATAGAATTCTACAAGATGTGTTGTTAGTGTGTGAAAAGAGGCAAGATCCAAGGATCCCCAGGCATGTACCTCCAGATGGTGGAGACATCAGGCACCATCCTGGCACCCAAGCATCTTCACTCAGTCGTAAGTGGCCAATAGGCAGGTGCAAAATGCGTCTGGTGAATTTCGAGTACTGCTTTGAAACATATCATGAACGTAGTGCCATACATGCAAAGGTCCATGAACAGGATCACTAATCAAACACTAGCATTAAAGAACAATAGAACCGGACCCTTGGACCCCACATCCTAAATCCACATGCAAATCCTGCATTGCGACAAAGCAGGAATTCTTCTTTCCACACCATTTTAGGATGATGGCACAGAGAGGTCAGCCTCATAAAGGAAGTGTGGCCCCATAACAGTTCTCTGTAAAGAGGAAAAGGAGACATGAAATGGATAGGGCCTCAGGACTCCAGCCATAAACTTTGCACCCTCTGAGAGAGGGGCAACCCAGTCAGATGGATGGGATACAAATAATAAAAGTATTACTATAAAAATTATGAGAGGCTCCATCCCATGACCTTCCTTGAGGACAAGGAACTTGCTTAAACAACAAACAAACCCTAAAACTACACACAGCCAAGATTGTTACACCTGCACAGTATGATCACAGAATATACTTTGCCCCCAATTACCAGAATATAGACAATTACAGACAGGGTATAGACAATCAAATGTCGGGGGTCTGCTATTACCATAACTGAAATACATACCGTACCCTCCAACATTTTTCCGGTGAAAATAGGGACGTCCCATTCCATAATGATAATTTTACTATTTATACCCCACACATCTTACTGGTTTGCCCCAGGCACACTGGGCAGCTTCCAAAATACATAAAAAATAAGAAAACATTAAACATTTTTTAAAGAAACCACTTCCCTATACAGGATTGCCTTCAGATGGCTCAGGGATTTGATAACTCCATACCCTCCAACATTTCTCCAATGAAAATAGGGACATCCTAAGGGAAAGTGGGACATTCTGGGATAAAATCAGAAACCGGGACAGCTTCTAAAAATCAGGGACATCCCTGGAAAATAGGGACACTTGGAGGGTCTGGAAATACAGTCACACAACTGTGAAAAATGAACTTGACGCAGAGCATGTAAGCCACACCCTAGCCTCCCCTTGTGATCCCGAAGGAACAAGCACACTCCAGCATTCATCCAGGAATTCACCTGAACTTAGCTCTTAGGCAAATGCTCTCCATTCCTTCAAAGCCTTCGCTGCCCAGTAATCCCAGAAGAGGCCTAAACTACTGATAAGCACGGAAAGCAGCTGCTTAGTTTTGGGGTTTTTAAAACGTAATTACCGTAGCTGCTTGCTTCTCCTCTTATAAACCCTGCATCCAATCAGAGACTACCTTCCTAGTTGTTAATCAGGTGCCAGAAACTGCCAATGGCCACATTCAACCACTCTTTGAGCAAAGGCTGATTAAATGTTCCTGTGTGTCTGTGTTGAGAGGTATTTGTTTAGCCCCATTGCCTTAAGATTTCTGTCCTAAACACACTATTTGGGGAGTAAGCCCCCACCGCAACTGGGGAGACACTTTTCTAAAAAAAAATATGTTTGGGATTCCACTGTCCCTATTAGGGTTGTCAGTTTTTCCCTTGGCCTCTGTAGCAGGGTCTGTTTAATCACAGACATCAGCAGCTGATCTTAATCTGCACATTGTGAAAAATCCCAGGTTGATTTCTGGAGCTGAAATTGATGAAAAAGGCATAAGTGAGGTGAGGTGCTTTTTTTACCTGATCAGCTTGGCAACTGTAGTTCCTGTCTGCTTGCAGTAGCTGCTGCCTCAGTTCTGAATAAGAATGCTACCCATTTAACCCAGTGTTAAATAAACACAGGCTTATTTCTCCATCCTTTCAGAAAGCTCCTACGTCCTCCAGAGTAGAAAGCAGAGCAGCAATGGGAACCTTTGACCCACAAGTTGCTGCTGAACTACAACTCCCATCAGCCCTAGCAATCATGGCCAATGCCCAGGCATGATAGGAGTTGTTGTTCAGGAACTGGACGATGGGAGTTGTAGTTCAGCAACTCCCATGATGGGAGCCCCAAACATTCCCCACATTAGAGTGTTTGGGTCAGACTTTCTCAACCTGTGGGTCCCCAGATGTTGTTGAACTACAACTCCCATCACCCCTAGCTAGCAAGGCCAGAGCTCAGGGATGATGGGAGTTGTAGTCCAACAACATCTGGGGACCCACAGGTTGAGAACTGCTGGTTTGGGTTGAATCCCTACTCAGCTATAAAGCTCACTGGATGGCCTTGGGCAAACCATGCCTATCTAAGCCTGCCTCATGGGGTTGTTAGTTAGCTAAATAAAGGAGGGCAGGTTATACTTGTACGAAGAACCAATATTTTCTCTTGGGTTTCATTTCCCTCTGACCTCACTGCTAACATTTCAGGCCCCTTGCTGCTGCAGCAGCACTTCATGCTTTTGATGAAATGGACCCTAGTCCACTAAACTTTAGGCCACAGGAACAAAGAAAGCTACCTTTCATCATGTCAGAATACTAGTCCAACAAGCTCTGCCTGGCAGAGGCTCCGGATATTTCAGACCTGGGTCTCTCTGAGCCCTACCTGGAGATGCCAAGCATGGGCATAGCCAGGATTTATGTTGTGGAGGGGCAGGACACCCACCTGCCCTCATCCTCTGTCTGGCTCTGTCTAGCAGATTCGGAACAAAATGTCTCAACGACAGTCAGGATGCCAGCTGTGTTGCTAGAAAGCATCCATGTGACCTCAGTGAGCATTTAGATTTCAAATATTCCAATTGTTTTCTACTTTTAGTTAAGTGTTTTTATTTATTTACTTGATTGGAGAGGGGAGCTGCCCTCCTTCCCGCCCCGCTGGCTATAGCCCATGATGCCAAGGATCAAATCTGGGATTTTCTGCATGCAAGTAAAATGCTCTACATCTCAGCTACAAGCCTTCCCTTATTGAATGGTTGTCAGATACTGGGTTCTGGGTGCTAGCCCTGTGCTCTGATTCTATTACTCTTGCTGTGGCCAAAAGTAAAAGGCTGCAGATTTCCCTCTGACCTCACCACCAACTGACCAAACCACCTTCCCCAGTCTTAAGGACACAAGCAAAATACATGGGCTCCACCCTTCTTTTTACAATGTTTTGCTCACATAGCCTGCAGGGTATTATTGCAACACAGGTGAAGCTTGGGAAGGCAATAAAAACTTTATTTTATCAACAGATATATTGAACTCATCACAGCCCAGCAAAGAACCTCTTATTTCATAAGAGACCTAAGGGAAACTCTCATCAACAGTCTGTTCTGATACTTTTCACCTCAGCCCAAAGATTAGCACCCCGTTCTGTCCAGAACTTTATCCTCTCCCACATTTTAATTTCCATTCTTGTCCTTAACTCTCCCATCCTGAGAAAGAATTCAGCCATCTGCACACTGCAAATGTGGGAATAAGTCCCGTGGAATTCCTTGGGGCTTACTTCAGAGTAGACATGCATAGGATTGTAGTGTACATTTTGTTTTATCAGATGAACACAGCAAGCCACTGGTCTGGCTGATCCATCTGGGCTTTATGGAAGCTGCTCTGAACACTTTCAAAAAGTGACCTGGAAATTAAATGATAAAGTTTGAACTGAACTGCCAGAGCAACTTTCTAAGTTGTAACTTGGGTTCACAGTCACTGCTTATTTGATCTGATTACGATTGTTAAGCACGGATCTTTATACAATCTCAGAGTATGCAGTTGCACTTTGTCACCAAGCAACTGCCTTCAGTCAACACTGCCCTTTTAAAATGTGGGGTTTTTTGGGGGGGTATTGGGTTGTTGTTTGTATTTTGATTATATATTTTGTGGTTTTATATTTTTTATTTTGTTCTGTGAACCGCCCTGAGGCCTCCGGGTATAGGGCGGTATATAAATTCAATAAATAATAATACATAGATAACAATAATTATTAATAAATAAAACACCATAGCGTACACTGCAGCACCCTTACAGCACATGCAGTTTAATGATTGAAACAAATCTCTTCCATAATGGGCTGGTTTTGCAAAGGCTTGGGATACAAAGCAATGAAGCGAAACTCTCAAGCAGTTCATGTCTGAGGCTTAATTGCATTTTGTTTAACTTGCCAAAGCTGTAAGATCCAGAAACTGGTAGGCTGAGGCACCTCCCCTTGATCGTAAAGTCAATGTTCCCTGTCACTCTCGTCACATCAATCATGATGAAAGTAAAAACAAATAAAACTAGAGCTGGAAAATGGAAGTACTG